GGATGTATTGCAAAAGGAAATAGCAAAATGGCATTATACTGGGAAATATGTTAATCTGTGGACATCGGAGGGTTGGAGTTAAGATCACAATGAATGGTGGATTGGCCGCTGTGGGTGAAAATCCAGAACTTGCAAAAAAATGAAATTAGGAATATATGTATAAGTATTTAATTACATGTACCTTACATGTGAGCGAAAATAGCTGTAAGTAGCAGTAAAAGTATTGTTGTCCGTTAGTTTACTCCAATCAGGGTAGGGATGGTAGGGTGGGGGGAAAATAGTATAAATAATCAAAATCAAAATAAATAAGAGGGATTAAAAATGATGCAAACAATTAAATTGATAGAACCCACAATCTATCTGAAATATTAAAGCTGATCTACCCCCCCCCCCCCCCCACCCCAAAAAAAATACTATAAAATAGAAAAATACATGAATGATAGGAAGATTTGTTTCCCCCATAAATCAGAACAATCCAATGTGTCATTAGTTATGTGTGCAACTTCTCTCATCTGTATGGGGTTTTTGTGGGGTGGAGTGTATTTCCACTTTTAAATAAATCTAATTTAAAACTCACTTGACTGTAATTTTTCCTGTGCCCTGTCTCAATAGTGGCTGAATTGATGCTCTGCTTCATCGAGTCTGTCCTTCAGGCTGCGCTCAGGGGGAAGCCAACTGGCAATGGCTCAATTTGTTTAGATTGCATTCCCAACTTGATATACGGTATCTCCATTGCGCAACAGTCTCTCTTAGATCCCTCTATAAGGCTATGTACTGCAGAAAATTATGGGTCATTTTCCTATGAGGATTTTTTTGTCAAACTCATATTGATAATGACACTCTTTTGGCTTAATGTTGCAATATGTTTTATAGGTGGGCCTAATGTACAGTATCTTATGAATTAATTTGCAGTAATAGCTAGCTACCCACTGCAGGCTCACTGTGCTGGGGTCTTTTTCATGACATCATACAGCACAGCTGCCTCCCTCTGACGATGTGTGCCCATTACACTGAACAGGCCTCAGTCATAATCTCCATATATGGTCCTTGATACATAATGTATTATCATTAGTCATAACCACTGTCATGAAACTCACCAATTCAGTGTTTCCTCTCCTTCACTTTAACATATATATTTTATCCCAATTTGTTGAGGCCACTGGATATTAATTTACTATTATTTTTATACCTGAGGTTATTGGACTCTACGTAATGTGGCTGGAAAATACGGTAATTGATGTGTTTGTTGATGTAGACGGTGCTACTATACTAGTTCTGTATTTAAGTTTGTCATACAGAGGACTTAACAGGAGCCTGTCACAGATTTAGCTGAGTCATAGCTGTGCTGATTTTATCTCCTGATTGTACTCAGGCTTATTACTCCGTCGTTGGACCCCCGAGAGAGAGGGGGAGAGAATGAGGGAGGGAGAGAGAGAGAAGCCAAATTGTCACTCTTCTACCCTCCCTTATCCCACCATTGTAAAGGAGCTCCATTATCCCCCATTCCTTCAATCCCTCTCGCTCCCTCCCATTCCTTCCATCCCTCTCTCTCCATAGATCATATTTCCCAGGGATGGCCTGGAGCCAAGTTGTGCTAATTAATTCTAAACTATACAATTTTTTTTATATGAGACTGCCTCTAGAAACATCCCTGCAATTCCATGTGGAATTTTGAATGCTTAAGCGTTGTGCTGTTTGCATTTGTGGTTCGAAAGTGCTTCAATTGTCTGTTGCAGGAGCATTGAGTAAATGAGCTTAAAAGGGAGCAGGGAGAGAGAGAGAGAGCTTTCCTAACAACACACAGGAGACATCCTGCAGCTCAGTTTGTGTACGCCATTCTTCTGACGTTCAAAGGAATAGAGTCCGTCTTCCGTTCCCATGAATTAATTCAACTCTGCAGCTCATTTTGGTAGAGTTGTTGATGTGTTGACAGGGAGCCAACATTCCTCTCACACTGATAAAGAGGCAGTGCTTCATCTAGGCAGTAGAGCATTTACCTCTCCCTAACTAGGTCTGTCTGGTTTCCCTCTGAGCCAAGTCTAAACCTAGGTAGCTTTCTCTTTCCCAATGCGAAAGCTCACTAGCCCAAACTGGATGTGAAGACCCATTTAGCAGGCTGAGATTGTGACCCAGTTCCCCCTAACAGTAACAGGAGCGATGGATTGACCCTCTGTCAGTCAGTAATTAGGCCCCGCTGGTCCCTGGGAGGGGTTGTCGTCCCAAATGAATGGCTGTAATTGGGTGGGGAGGGCTGGTATTTTATACAGGCTTTGTTTGAGTGATATAGTAAAGGAGCTGACATGGGTGACACTTGGGGTGAAGGGAGAAAGGGGAGGGGTCTGACTGAAACATAATGAGTCTTCTCCAATCTTTCCTATTTTTCATTACCATCTTATCTCCCCCACATGCACATTTCATCACCTTCCCTATTCATCTTCTTCTGTGTGTCTCTTTTCTGTCTTCTCCTTTTCTCTCCCTCTCCCTTTCTCTCTCTATCTCAGGGTGTGTCTAATAGGAGGGCTGTCTGGTCTTGATTATGAATTATAAGTGTTAGCTCTTGCTCTTAGCTCGGATGTGTTGTCACAAAGACCTGACCTTTACCTGATCGCTAAGGCACAGCAACTGGGTTACAGCCGGACAATTACGTCAGGAGCTCACTCGATTGATCTCCTCCTCTGGCCAGCTGGCTGGGGATGTGATGTGTGAGGTGTTCACAGGCAGACTGAAAGCCTGCATAATTACTCTGTGCCTGCAGCTGTATCCAGATAACACCAGTGATGGACGCAGTAAGCAGCCCTGTGTAGGTGGGTGCTAATGCCTATTTGGATTTATGTCCATAGAAGTTTGTGTGCCCATTTGTATCATCCTGTTGCATTTCACTGTATGATTCCAGCAGTTATCTGACCTGTAAGCTTCACGCATCAACTGTTGTATTCTAAAAATAGTTTGTGATATGTGCTAACGTGACAACAGGAGTTAATGGAATATGTCTCTCTTGTCATCTTGTAGCATGGGGGGTATTGAATGACAAGGACTTGAGAGTCACTATGTTTGACAGTATGAGAGTCACTCTGTTAAAGCACTGTGTCTGTGCGTGTGTGTGTCCGTGCGTGTGCGTGTGTGCGCAGGTGTGTGTGTGCATGTGTGAGTGAGAGCTGCACTGACTTGAATCAGTGTTTCCCCCTAGTCCTATCATCAAAGCGAAATGTAAATTAATTAAAGCTGCTAATAAGCTAGAGCTTGAAAATTGTCTTTGTTTTAATATCCCTTGTTAAGCACTGGGAAGCCGAGCTTTGAAATCACTGTCCATGTAGAATGGGAGAAGGGGAGAAACCTACATACCATATTTATTCCATACAGAGGTCTGTGATCTAGGGTTCCCAGTGCTTGTTCCCTGCCTCTGATGGTGGTGTCCTTTCTGCACTAGCAAGATCAGAGTGCCTCTGTGCAATTCTAATCAGTGCAGAGGGTGGGAAGAGAGAGAGACTGTATGGTAGAGGTAAAGTAGAGAGAGATAGACTATGTGGTAGAGGAAGAGGGAGAGGGAGAGGGAGGGTGAGAGAGGCTGTGAGCGAGAGGAAGAGAGAGGCTATGAGTAGAGGGAGAGGGGGGGGTGAGAGAGAGCGAGAGACTGTGAGGCAGAGAGAGAGGGAGGGTGATTGATATAGTGAGAGTGTGAGGCAGAGAGAGATAAAGGAAGGAACAGAGAGCTGATACGTGGAGCTGTACCCTGCTCCATCAGGCAACATACGGCAGCCCTGCAGTGCACTGAGACTATGTGAATGAGGGAATGTGATAGAGAGCAAGAAAGAGAGCAGAAGAGAGAGAGAGAGAGAGAGAGAGAGAGCAAGAGAGACAGGGTAAGATAAAGCTTGAGGGATTTGTCTGAATGGGAGAGGGGATGAGCATCAAGACTGCCTGTTGTGGATGCGGGAAGGACACGGTTGAGGCTGCTTTCTGGGCTCGTGAGTATCCAGCATCAGGACGTTATGCCCTGTGAGGGGAGCAGTGAGGGGAGCGTGTGAGCCGAGAGCAGCTTCTTTGTGACAGTACGTGCATCAGACAGGGGATGCAGCAAACCTCTGCCCAGAGCACAGGGGCTTCTGGAGCTAGCTGTACCCACAGCGGGGGAGAGCCAGGTGGGGTGGAGGGGGCTTATCGCATGGGGAGGGGGCAGGCTGAACCAAGGTGGTCCTGTGGAAATCTCAGCCAAGAGTCAAGAGGCTCACCTGCGCTCTGTTGGAGCTGAGCTTGGATTTACTGGTGTGAGATATGATAAGAACGTTCTCTGAATGAGCCAGTCTCCAGAGGAGAGTCTATTCGCTGGGAAGCACCAGGTTTACCACCAGGATCTCTGGGAACACCAAGGACATAGAGCCTCTTTTCACAGGCAAGCAGGCAGAATTTTATCAAGGGGCTGGTAATTGGATTCTGATTTGATTTCAGCAGTTTTTCATCAACAGTCAGGAGCCACAGGGGAGACCTGAGTTTTGGTGTATGAGATTGGACTCTCATTCCGTTTGTGGAGTAAGAAAATAATCCTAGAGAGAATATCATGATCCAGATTACATTAAAACCTTACCTTATCATGGTTCTACCTTTATTCAATGAGCCACGTCAGAGCTCTCAGACAGGTTGTCCACTAAAGCCATGGGACTGAGACAGAGGTGACCAAGTGCTACAAAGTGTACTCTGTGGAGCTGTAATTTACTGTGGTTTACCATACCTTTGTGGAATATTATCTGTTTCAAGGATGATGATTATGATGATGGTTTAACCAGGATAAAGGACACCATGTGGAATGTGATATCCAGTAATACTGTATAACTTTGTATGGCATTGAAAGTTATTTTGTTTAGTACTTCATATTACAGTGTACTGGAAATATTGACATATTTTTAGGCATAGGCAAAGTCACAAATGCTTTTTTGTAGTCACTGATGTACCTACCAAAGGGATCAATTTTCATTAATTTTTCAAGTAATTAGCTAAACATTTTGATGGAAGATGCCAGATTGGCTCAATCAATTGAACGTGGTGATCAATATTCAAAGGGTCTACATATCCAACTCTATCTCTACCCTTGCCTGACATTGACACTCACAGTAACAACGGTGGGTGTACAGTATATCACGGCGGGCTGGTTCCACCCCTATATCTCCAGTGTAAGAGTAGCTGGGCCCCTCCTGCTCTGTGGGAGCTGCCCTCCCCCAGCCTGGACCCTGTCTCCTCTGCCCTGCTGGTGCTCCTGCACTCGGCTGTGCTGGCCGAGGATGATGTGGCAATGCCATGTCTCGTCCTCGGAGTGCCGCTGCTACCGGTTGAACGGCTTTTCCCTGCTGAAGCGCTTCCCTCTCTCGGCAGATGGGGCCTGCAGCAAAGCCCTGGACCAACCCGTGGGAGAGTGGCTGGAGCATGTGGGGCTGCCACAGTACGAGAGCAAGCTGCTGCTTAATGGCTTTGATGACCTGCGCTACATGGTGAGTCAACGTTTCTAAGATCTTTTCCACTTTCCATCGCTCTCCATCTCCTTTTCTCCCTCTTCCATTTCACTTTCTCCATCCATCTTATTCTCTCTCTCCCAGTTTCCATCTCCCTTCTATAGCTGCTCTTCACCTCTCCTTGTTATACAGTAGATGACCCCATACAGATTTATGTGCTTACGGTGAATCCCCTTTGAAGTGTATAAGCTGTCACCAATGGTAAGACGAATCACAACAAAACCTGTTAACATGCCATCTCATTTACGGTAAAATAATTTTTGCTGTAGTGACTTCGTCTATTGTGATTTCATGGTCAAGTTGTATACTGATTTTAAAAAAGGACATTTTTGTAGTCCTGAAAAATACATCTTTAACTGATGCCACTTCAGCCAGAAAAACTCAATTCAACCAGAATGTTACATCATTATGACATCCCTTGTGCTTCTTACAGATGTAGGATCTTAATTTGATCACTCTTTTGTTGCTGAGAATGTTCATGCTCAGCCGGAAATACAAATGTATAGTGTATTTGAGTTTTAAAAAGGCTTCTAAAGTTTGTATTTTACACTCTGAAATGTCAGACTTGATTCACAAAAAATGGATCAATCCCTACCAAAAATGTCCATTCATTATAATCCACATAATAATTCAAAGTTCCTGTTGCTGCAGGATTATTTTCCTGCTGTAGAAAACTGGCTCAAATTAAGATCCTACATCTGTATGTCTCTTGTTTTTGAAAAGCATAGACAGATTAACTTGGCTGTGCTGTTTAAAAGTCTCTGGAATCATGTATTGCTGAAATCATTTAGCCGCAGCTCAAATTACTGTATGTTTTGAGTCAAACTAAAAGGGACTATCTTGTTCCTTTTAAGTTACATCACACAGATGTGTGTGTGTGTTACAACATTTGCAAATGAATGTACAAAACAACACTTACATTTCCACTGATTGCGCAACTCTGAAAAAGCTGTTGTAAATGGTGAATAACATGGTCTTTAAAACAAACACACTAATTGATCTGACAACACAGCTGCTTCAGTACTGTAGTCTACAAGAGGTTGCCATAGATGACAGATTGGTAAGGGGCAACTGACTGCACCTTTTAGAGAGGTCACATAGCCAATGGAAGAGGTCTGATATACTGAATATGGACTGGGAATAGCTAGTCAGTCTGCCCAGTGTTCATCTATTGTACCAATACCATTAGGTGTTTGTGTTTAAGACATGCTCCGGAACTTTGGCGACTAGTAAGTATTTTTTAAGCCTCCTGCCTTGGGCTGGATGTGTCAATTTGTAGTTCATACATCATAATCTATGAGCAGAATTACTGTCTTACCTCAATTAGCCACGAAATCCCTAGTTTGAAAGTGACCGTTTACTAGAAGCTGTGTTGCGCCATTTTCCCTACATTTCCACGCACATGGGCCAGCCCCCTAGCAATTCAAGTTCCAGCCAATGAGGTTCAGCCCCTCGCTATTTGAGTGACAGCTAGCAAGATGCACACACAGCAGAGCGAGAGAAAGTGCAATGACGTGGTGCACATATCTGGACGTGATGTAGTACACCATTTCCGGGGACCGTAAGCTCTACTTTCAGAACTACTGGCAAAAAATTATACAAAAGTACCGGAGAATCTCTTTAATTAGGTAATAATAGGATGAGGATTAGGATCATGGGTCATTAGCATTGTGATGTTAATGTTAATCTCTTGACTAATGTGTCTGAGGTGTAGAAGCACCAAGCAGATAATTGATTAGCTCCCTGCAGGACAAATTACCCTCAGATACTTACAAGGACTTGAAGGTTGCTGTCTGAAAAGGTCAGAGCAGTCAGAGAGATGTTGTAAAGGTTCAGTGGTGTCCTATTGGACTGTCTGATCTGTTCATTTTTTTATTTGCTTGGTGGGCTGATTGTGGATCAGGAGAAGTGGTATGCTGGGTTTTGCCCCGCATCGTTTTTGTTGAATAGTTGAGATATTCTGTGAAACATTGTTCAACCCTATCATCAAATGAATCTATAAATCTCATAGAAATACAATGTCATGAAGCAGAGGAGCAAAGGTAATAGTGACTGTGCCAGAGATGCACATGAGTTGGTGAACAACTCAAAGACAAAGATGTCATCTTCATTAAGAAAATAGGAGAGAAATCTGAGTACCCTATTTTCCTGCTGACCCAAAAGGCAAGAGTGTCATAGAACCAATTCTTCAATACTGAGAAATCAGAGTTAGTCTACCCTTCCGACCTATCACTGTAGATACAGTAAGCCTACCACCAGAGAACACATGCCCACATTCACTCTGTAGTGTGCAGCTTTTGAGGGATCATAAATAATAATCTGCTGTGTCCCCATTTTCCTAATTTTTACAAGATGATAATTTTTGTTGTTGTTACTTTTATCCACCGATAAATGGGTCTCTCATGTCTCTCGTATGGCCTACCGTTCTGCCCTTATGGGTTTTTTGGTGCAAATAATAAAATACATGTTTTTAGAGCCTCCTCATTTCATGACACCTTTCTCCTTTGTGATGAGGGACTGTATGTATCACAGTTATGGTTATGTAATAAGCACTTATAGATATGGACAAAAATAGCTTTTCATTACTTAATCATATTTTCCTGATGAAGTATAAATGACAAGCTCCCGTGGGACCTCCTGGAACATCCAACAATCACTTCATTGGAAATATCTATTTCAGGCTATTCCTGACGTCAGACACTGAATTAGTTTGATCCTTGTTCTAGTGATAATCAGTGTGTAATTTCCTACTGTCCTCCCTTGTTACTGTAACTGCTGCATTGTGCTCCAGAAACAAGCAGTGATGCCATATTTAGAAAAGACTAGCTCCATTTTAACATTCTTGGCCAGGAAGAATCAATCTGCAGCAGTCCACTGGGAAAATGCTGAGCTCAACATTTTTAAGGGTCTCCTTATATCTTTATTCCTCCCCAAAAACCCGATTAGATGATGAAGCATGTGCCACTTATGGAGAGTTATGTAAAACCAATGGTGAACATCTATTGTTGTCAATCATTACTGTAAAGGAAAATGGGAAATGTTAAGATGATTTTATTGTCTTCACCATTATATGCAGTGAAATGTTCATTCCTTGTCTATAACACCACAGCTGTTTGCATACGCATGTGCATACACGCGCATACACACACACACACACACACACACACACACACACACACACACACACACACACACACACACACACACACACACACACACAGATGTGTAGTCCTATACATTTCCCTCTTAGCAAATGTAATGTCTCAATGCAACATTGCAGCTCAGAAGTAAAAGCTGCTGCAGTTTTGATTCCTTTTTCCTTGGTGGTGTTGCATTAAAATAGATTGATTACCTTTAACATGCACAATTTGACTCCAATGTCCTCTCACCGTGTCATTCTTGTTTGTCTGAGGACATAAATAAGTGTGTGTGTGTTCATTTGTGTTTCTGTGTATGTGTGTCTGTGTGTATTATTGATTACATATAGGGACCAATAGAGTGTAGGAGATGTTGTAATGTCTATGTTAATAGTTAGCTTAAGTGATTTATACGTGTTTCTGTATACTGTGGACTTTGTGAAGTGTCTGCAGTTTGTCGTACTTGTGTAATTAATTTGTGCATGTGCGTGTGCATGTGCGTGTGTGCGTAGGGCAGTAACGTGATGGAGGACACGGACCTTAGAGATATGGGAATCACTGACCCTGGACACAGAAAGAAGATCATCCATGCAGCACGCAGCTTGCCCAAGGTACAGTAGTTATCATCAGTACATGGCACTGCCTGCAACCTTGTGCCTGGTTGACCATTCATTCCTGTCTAAGAAGCCATCTTGTGTACAGTAATTTCAATCATGATAATGACATGTATTGTAAAGTAGCTTTGATCTAGTCTGTAGCTATGGGTGGCAATAGCAATTATGTGAAAAAGCCCTTTGACATTGGGTATGGTTTAAAAAAGCTTGAAAGAAATTGTGAAATCCTGCTTTTATTTGAATGTAATTTGATCTCCTTTCTGTCCCTCTTTGTAGGTGAAAGCCCTTGGCTGTGATGGCAGCACCTCTCTCTCCACCTGGTTGGATGTGCTGGGCCTGCAGGAGTACCTGCCTAACTTCCTGTCCAGTGGCTACCGTACCTTGGACTGTGTGAAGAACCTATGGGAGCTGGAGATTGTCAACGTGAGGCCAATGTTTTGTTAGTGAATTATGGAGTGCCTCAGGGAGGAGACACCACTGTACTGAGCTTAAGGCAAAACAGATTTGAGCTGAATAATTGAGGAGAGTCCATTCTGTCTGCTTGCCAAGTGCCAGCATGGGTGTCAGACTCACTGTATACAGTCAGTGTGGGTGTATATCCATTCATATTTGTTGGTTTGTACTTGTTTGTCAATATTAGTGTCTGTGTTGTTCATATGAACATAGCACTATGTACGGTCTAGTAGTTACTGTTGTGTCTTATCTGTGCCTGTCTCTGCAGGTGTTGAAAATCGTCTCTCTGGGCCACAGGAAGAGGATCATAGCGTCTCTGGCAGAGCGGCCCTATGAGGAGGCCCCGACCAAATCACAGATCTCTCACCGTCTCTCACAGATCAGGGTTAGTAAGAGTCCTCAGTGTCTTACATTTTAACAATAATCACAGCTAGCACATTTGGTTCCTTGGAAGTTGTGGGAACGTACGTTTTTGGTTTCCCACTGGTTCTGGAAACGAAGCCATACGTTTCCTGACCGGTAAAACTGAAGATTTCTGAGAACGGAAGCGAAAATGTTACCTGTTCTGGGAATGTTTTACTCTGGTTCCTTTAAAGTTTTTCTGGGAGGTTTTATTAAAGCTCTGAGAACTAAAATTATAGGTTATTTTGAGGTTTTTGAATAACTTCCTTAAAACTTTCACTGAATGTTTCAATAAGAGTTTTAATAACACTGCTAGCTTATTTAGTATTCACTTTTTTTTTTTTTTATCCAAGCACAGATAGGACACATGGAAATGCAAACACATTTCTTTTGAATTGTGTGACAGCATTAGTGAGCTTCGAACGTATAATCTTCTGTTCTCTATTCATGGAATTAGTCCACTGTGCCATCAGGATGGAGCTAGCATGCCATATTCTTTTACACATAAAGTGCATTCGGAAAGTATTCAGACCCCTTGACTTTTTCCACATTTCGTTACGTTATAGCCTTATTTTTAAATGGATTAAAAAAATGTTTTTACCCTCATCAATCTACACACAATACCCCATAATGACTAAGCAAAAACAAGTTTTTTGATTTTTTTGCAAATTTAAAATAAAATAAAAAACGGAAATATCACATTTTCATAAGTATTCAGACCCTTTACTCGGTACATTGTTGAAGCACCTTTGGCAGCGATTACAGCCTCGATTCTTCTTGGGTATGACGCTACAAGCTTGGCCCACCTGTATTTGGGGAGTTTCTCCCATTCTTCTCTGCAGATCCTCTCAAGCTCTGTCAGGTTGGATAGGGAGCGTCATTGCACAGCTATTTTCAGGTCTCTCCAGAGATGTTCAATCGGGTTCAAGTCCGGGCTCTGGCTGGGCCACTCAAGGACATTCAGAGACTTGTCCCGAAGCCACTCCTGTGTTGTCTTGGCTGTGTGCTTAGGGTCATTGTCCTGTTGGAAGTTGAACCTTCGCCACAGTCTGAGGTTCTGAGCGCTCTGGAGCAGGTTTTCATCAAGGATCTCTCTGTACATTGCTCCGTTCATCTTTCCCTCAATCCTGACTAGTCTACCAGTCCCTGCCGCTGAAAAACATCCCCACAACATGATGCTGCCACTATCATGCTTCATCTTAGGGATGGTGCCAGGTTTCCTTCAGACGTGACGCTTGGCATTCAGGCCAAAGAGTTCAATCTTGTTTTCTTCAAACCAGAGAATCTTGTTTCTCATGGTCTGAGAGTCTTTAGGTGCCTTTTGCCAAACTCCAAGCGGGCTGTCATGTGCCTTTTACTGAAGAGTGGCTTCCATCTGGCCACTCTACCATAAAGGCCTGATTGGTGGAGTGCTGCAGAGATGGTTGTCCTTCTGGAAGGTTCTCCCATCTCCACAGAGGAACTCTGGAGCTCTATCAGAGTGACCATCGGGTTCTTGGTCACCTCCCTGACCAAGGCCCTTCTCCCCCGATTTCTCAGTTTGTCCAGGCGGCCAGCTCTAGGAAGAGTCTTGGTGGTTCCAAACTTCTTCCATTTAAGAATGATGGATGCCACTGTGTTCTTATGGACCTTCAATGTTGCAGACATGTTTTGGTACCCTTTCCCAGATCTGTGCCTCGACACAATCCTGTCTCGGAGCTCTAAGGACAATTCCTTCGACCTCATGGCTTGGTTTTTGCTCTGACATGCAGTGTCAACTGTGGGACCTTATATAGACAGGTGTGTGCCTTTCCAAATCATGTCCAATCAATTTAATTTACCACAGGTGGACTCCAATCAAGTTGTAGAAACATCTCAAGGATGATCAATGGAAAAAGGATGCACCTGAACTCAATTTCGAGTCTCATAGCAAAGGGTCTGAATACTTATGTAAATAAGGTATTTTTGTTTTTTATTTAAAAAAATTAATAAAATAAAAATTGTTTTCACTTTTTCATTATGGGGTGTTGTGTAAAAAACATATATTTAATCCCTTTTAGAACAAGGCTGTAATGTACCAAAAGGTGGAAAAAGTCAAGGGGTCTGAATACATTCTAAATGCACTGTACAAAGCTGTTCCTTTTAGTCTATTTAAACAGACTCCTTTTCAAAGGAGACAAGCACTCATTAAGATCAGGTGTGGCCAATTAGCGGTCGAGGCCATACACCTGAACACACTTAACAAGATAGAGAATAGAGAAAGTTTTGTTGATGCTGAGAACGGAATCAGTGGAGGCTGCTGAAGGGAGAACGGCTCATAATAATGGTTGGAAAGGAGTAAATGGAATGGCATCAAACACATGGAACCCATGTGTTTGATGTATTTGATACAATTCCACTCATTCCGCTCCAGCCATTACCATGATCCTGTCCTCCCCAATTAAGGTGCCACCAACCTCCTGTGAATGGAATGTATATTCTTTTAAATAACATAAATGTTCTCTGAACGTTACTAGTTTTCTTGTGGTTTTTATGGAAAGTTTTCATAATGTTCTCGAAACAATTTGAGAACATGCCTTTAAATAGAACCATGTGGAAACCTGTAGGAAACGTTATGCTGAAGTACTGAAATTCCCACAGAAGAACGTTGTTTCTTAATGTTCTCTGAACTATATTTAAACATTCCCAATGTCAAACAAGTTGGAGAACGTTCGTAGAACATTACCCAAAATTTTTTTTTTTTACCAAAATTGAAATTGAAGCTGCAATATGTAACTTTTTGGGTGGCCTGACAAAATTTACATCGAGGTGTGAGTTATAGATCTGTCATTCTCATTGAAAGCAAGTCTAAAAAGCAGTACATCTGTTCTAGGTGCGCTATTTCAATGCCTCCCATTTTTAAGTTTAGTTTTTGTGTCTTTTACTTTCAGTTTTGTACACCAGCTTAAAACAGCTGAAAATAAAATATTTTTGGTTATGGAAAATATATTTCAGATTTAGATGGTTTAGATGGTACAATGATTTTCTCACTATACTTGCTTGTTTGTCACATAAACTGAAACCATGAAATGCAACCATGAAATGTTGGTGCGATTTCTGCAAAGTGCATCTTTAAATGTAACCATGTTTGAACTTTTAAGAAACGTTCTGTTAAAGTAATGAAATATCAAGAAATTATATATTTTTTGTCAAGTTCCTTAAATGTGCTGAGAATGTTCCAAAGCCAAGCAACTATCCTGCACCATTTCCCAAAAAGTTGTGGGAAGGTTGTATGCAAAATAACCATAGGACAATCACACTCTCACCAAGCTCTAAGAAACATATGTTTTTCCGAAAATTATGTGCTAGCTGGGATCCCACTTGTACTGTATGCCACTACATAATGCTCTAATACCTTATTGAAATCTCAGAATCAATCTGATCAATCAATCTGTATATGGCAGTTTCAGGACCTGTTGTCCCAGACAGGGACCTCTCCTCTGAGTCAGATGGACCCATCCACCAGTCGCTCCATGGACATGCTCCTGCCCCTGGGAGAGGCAGGCAGAAGGAGGAGAGCCATGGACCAGGACTGCAGCATATCCCTGCGCTCCTACAGCGAGAGACCCCGCTCCCACGTTAGTCCTCCTGCCAAAACGCTGTCTTTACCTGTACCTCATAAAGTGACAGAAATACAGTATGTGTCTCTGTGGTGTGCTTGGGATAATCATGTTAGAAAGAAAGAAAGCTGCTGCTGGGGTGTTTAACAGATTATTGAAGTCATTCCATGCTTGTACTAAATATGCACTGAGTATATAACACATTAAGAACACCTGTTCCTGTTCTTAATGTGTTATATACAGGTGAAAGCTATGATCTCTTATTGATGGCATTTGTTAAATCCACTTAAATCAGTGTAGATGAAGGGGAGGAGACAGGTTAAAGAAGGATTTTTAAGCCTTGAGACAATTGAGACATGTATTGTGTATGTGTGCCATTCAGAGGGTGAATGGGCAAGACAAAAAATGTAAGTGCCTTTGAACGGGGTATGGTAGTAGGTACCAGGCGCACCAGTTTGTGTCAAGAACTGCAAAGCTGCTGGGTTTTTCACACTCAACAGTTTCCTGTGTGTATCAAGAATGGTCCACCACCCAAAGGACATCCAGCCAACTTGACACAACTGTGGGAAGCATTGGAGTCAACATGGGCCAGCATCCCTGTGGAATGCTTTTGACACCTTGTAGAGTCCATGCCCCGACGAATTGAGGCTGTTCTGAGGGCAAAAGTGTGTGTGAGTGTGGGGGGGATCAGTCAAAGTGTTACAGCATCTTTTTAGTTTTAGAATCCTGTAATATTTTGTGACTAAATGTTCTGCCATAACATCTTTGTACACTACAGCATCAATCCGTCTCTATGTCTCTTTCTAGGACAGACAGAGTGACCGACACAGGGAACCCCGTTTGACCCTCCGGCCGCCGAGCCAGTCTGCCACGTACACCACGGTCTCTGCTTGGCATCACCAGCCTGAGAAACTTATCTTAGAGTCTTGCGGGTATGAGGCCAGTGTAAGTCATGTCAATGGTCAATCTCCTGTCTTGTTGTGTCAATGGAAGTCCCCTTGAATCTCGGCCACTAGAAAAAGTATTTAATCCAAGTTTGATAATCACTTGATGTATAAAGAATTGATAGTTCCCACTAGGCACACACTGGTTGAATCAATGTTGATCTGCAGTATGAACCAACATGGAATAGACATTGAATTGACGTCTGTGCCCAATGGGTTCAGAGATGATAACCTGTTTTGTTGCTTATTTTCCAGTATTTGGGATCAATGATTATCAGGGATCTAAGGGGGATTGAGTCCACTCAAGAAGCCTGTGCTAAAATTAGGGTAAGTCTGACTGTCATACTGCAGATCAATATTCAATCACTCTATTCTAGCACGCCATATTCATATGGATCGCCTCGCCATTTTCTTTCTACTTATAGAAGTCAAAGGACCATTCGAGAAAGGGACCTGTTGTCATCCTCTCTATCACTTATAAAGGGGTCAAGTTCATTGATGCCGCCACTAAGGTAATGGGAGCCTGCAGGCAATCATTTTTCTCTCTCGCGTTTTCATATTGATTCCCCTACAATAAAGATAGCACTGTTGGTTCTGATGAAGTCAGTGGCTGTTACTGGTCGATGGTTTTGTTCCTGTTGCTCCTCAGTTCCAACATGTTATTTTGTCCTCTCACCAGACAATAGTAGCCGAGCATGAGATCAGGAACATCTCCTGTGCGGCCCAGGACCCTGATGACCTCTGCACCTTCGCCTACATCACCAAGGACAGTAAGAGTGGCCACCACTTCTGCCATGTCTTCAGCACTGTGGAAGTGGTGAGGAACACGATTTTTATTTTATTTTATTTCAACTTTATTTAACCAGGTAAGCCAGTTGATAACAAGTTCTCATTTACAACTGCGACCTGGCCAAGATAAAGCAAAGCAGTGCGATAAAAAACAACAACACAGAGTTACATATGGGGTAAACAAAACATAAAGTCCAAAATACTACAGAAAATATATATACAGTGTGTGCAAATGTAGCAAGTTATGGAGGTAAGGCAATAAATAGGACATAGTGCAAAATTATTATAATTTAGTATTAACACTGGAATGATAGATGTGCAAGAGATGATGTGCAAATAGAGATACTGGGGTGCAAATGAGCAAAATAAATAACAATATAGGGATGAGGTAGTTGGGTGGGCTAATTTCAGATGGGCTGTGTACAGGTGCAGTGATCGGTAAGCTGCTCTGACAACTGATGCTTAAAGTTAGTGAGGGAGATAAGAGTCTCCAGCTTCAGAGATTTATGCAGTACGTTCCAGTCATTGGCAGCAGAGTACTGGAAGGAAAGGCGGCCAAAGGAGGTGTTGGCTTTGGGGATGACCAGTGAGATATACCTGCTGGAGCGCATACTACGGGTGGGTGTTGCTATGGAGACCAATGAGCTAAGATAAGGTGGGGATTTGCCTAGCAGTGATTTATAGATGACCTGGAGCCAGTGGGTTTGGCGATGAATATGTTATGAGGACCAGCCAACAAGAGCGTACAGGTCACAGTGGTGGGTAGTATATGGGGCTTTGGTGACAAAACTGATGGCACTGTGATAGACTACATCCAATTTGTGTTGGAGGCTATTTTGTAAATGACATCACCGAAGTCAAGGATCGGTAGGATAGTCAGTTTAACGAGGGCATGTTTGGCAGCATGAGTGAAGGAGGCTTTGTTGCGAAATAGGAAGCCGATTCTAGATTTTACTTTGGATTGGAGATGCTTAATGTGAGTCTGGAAGGATAGTTTACAGTCTAACCAGACACCTAGGTATTTGTAGTTGTCCACATATTCTAAGGTGGGCGGGTGCCAGCAACGTTCGATTGAAGAGCATGCATTTAGGTTTACTAGTGTTTAAGAGCAGTTGGAGGCTACGGAAGGAGTGTTGTATGGCATTGAAGCTCGTTTGGAGGTTTGTTAACACAGTGTCCAATGAAGGGCCAGATGTATACAAAATGTTGTCGTCTGCGTAGAGGTGGATCTGAGAGTCACCAGCAGCAAGAGCGACATCATTGATATACACAGAGAAAAGAGTCGGCCCAAGATTTGAACCCTGTGGCACCCCCATAGAGACTGCCATAGGTCCAGACAACAGGCCCTCCGATTTGACACATTGAACTCTATCTGAGAAGTAGTTGGTGAACCAGGCGAGGCAGTCATTTGAGAAACCAAGGCTATTTAGTCTGCCAATAAGAATGCGGTGGTTGACAGAGTCGAAAGCCTTGGCCAGGTCGATGAAGACGGCTGCACAGTACTGTCTGTTATCGATCACGGTTATAATATCATTTAGGACCTTGAGCGTGGCTGAGGTGCACTCATGACCAGCTCGGAAATCGGATTGCATAGCGGAGAAGGCACGGTGGGATTCGAAATGGTCGGTGATCTGTTTGTTAACTTTCGAAAGGCAGGGCAGGATGGATATAGGTCTGTAACAGTTTGGATCTAGAGTGTCACCCACTTTGAAGAGGGGGATGACCGCGGCAGCTTTCCAATCTCTGGGGATCTCAGACGTTACGAAAGAGAGGTTGAACAGGCTAGTAATAGGGGTTGCGACAATTTCGGCTGCTAATTTTAGAAAGAAAGGGTCCAGATTGTCTAGCCCAGATGATTTGTAGGGGTCCAGATTTAACAGCTCTTTCAGAACATCAGCTGTCTGAATTTGTGTGAAGGAGGGGGGGGGGGGGGGGCATGGGCAAGTTGCAGCGGAGGGTGCAGAGCTGGTGGCCGGGGTAGTGGTAGCCAGGTGGAAAGCATGGCCAGCCGTAGCAAAATGCTTGTTGAAATTCTCGATTATTGTAGATTTATCGGTGGTGATAGTGTTTCCTAGCCTCAGTGCAGTGGGCAGCTGGGAGGAGGTGCTCTTATTCTCCATGGACTTTACAGTGTCCCAAAACTTGTTGGAGTTAGTGCTACAGGATGCAAATGTCTGTTGGAAAAAGCTAGCCCTTGCTTTCCTAACTGCTTGTGTATATTGGTTCCTAACTTCCCTGAAATGTTGCATATCGCTGGGGCTATTCGATGCTAATGCAGTACGCCACAGGATGTTTTTGTGCTGGTGAAGGGCAGTCAAGTCTGAGGAGAACAAGGGGCTATATCTGTTCTTAGTTCTGAATTTTTTGAATGGGGGATGCTTATTTAAGATTGAGAGGAAAGCACTTTTAAAGAACAACCAGGCATCCCCTACTGACAGAATGAGATCGATATCCATCCAGGATACCTGGGCCAGGTCAATTAGGAAGGCCTGCTCGCTAAAGTGTTTTAGGGAGCGTTTGCCAGTGATGAGGGGTGGTCGTTTGACCACGGACCCGTTACGGACACAGGCAATGAGGCAGTGATCGCTGAGATCCTGGTTGAAGACAGCGGAGGTGTATTTAGAGGGTAAGTTAGTCAGGATGATATCTATGAGGGTGCCCATGTTTACGGATTTAGGGTTGTACCTGGTAGGTTCCTTGATAATTTGTGTGAGATTGAGGGCATCTAGTTTGGATTGTAGGATGGCCGGGGTGTTAAGCATATCCCAGTTTAGGTCACCAAGCAGTAAGAACTCTGAGGATAGATGGAGGGCAATCAATTCACATATGGTGTCCAGGGCACAGCTGGGGGCTGAGGGGGGTCTGTAGCAAGCAGCAAGAGTGAGAGACTTATTTCTGGAAAGGTGGATTTTTAGAAGTAGGAGCTCAAACTGTTTGGGCACAAACCTGGATAGTATGATAGAGCTCTGCAGGCTATCTCTACAGTAGATTACAACTCCACCCCCTATGGCAGTTCTATCTAGACGGAAAATGTTGTAGTTGGGGATGGACATTTCTGCATTTTTGGTGGCCTTCCTAAGCCAGGATTCATACACTGCTAGAACATCAGGGTTGGTGGAGTGTGCTAATGCAGTGAATAACTCAAACTTAGGAAGGAGGCTTCTGATGTTAACATGCAAAAAGCCAAGGCTTTTACGTTTACAGAAGTCAACAAATGATAGCGCCTGGGGAGTAGGAGTGATACTGGGGGCTGCAGGGCCTGGGTTAACCTCTACATCACCAGAGGAACAGAGGAGGACTAGAATAAGGATACGGCTAAAGGCTTTAAGAACTGGTATTCTAGTGCGTTGGGTACAGAGAATAAAGGGGGTAGATTTCCGGGCGTTATAGAATAGATTCAGGGCATTATGTACAGACAAGGATATGGAAGGATATGAGTACAGTGGAGGTAAACCTAAGCGTTGGGTAACAATGAAAGAGATAGCATCACTGGAGGCAACGATTGAGCCGGTCTCCGTGTGTATGGGGGGTGGAACAAAGGAGCTATTTGAGGCAGTTTGAGAGGGACTTGGGGCTCTACAGTGAAATTGTATAATAAGAACTAACTGGAACAGCAATAGGCAAGGCATATTGACATGGGAGAGAGGCATAAAGCAATCACAGGTGTTATTCGAGAGAGCTAAGACAACAACTGGTAATGGCGATGAAAGTTTGGGCTGAGGCTAAACAGATAAAACAGGACAGGGTACCGTGTAAAGGAACAGTCCAGCAGGCATCAGCTGTGCAGCTGAGTGATCATAAGGTTCAGTGAACAGCAATGTGAGTCCGAGAGCAGTTCGAATTGGTGCTACAGCACAGGCGATGAGGAAGCACGGCTGTTGAATTGCATGTGCTAGCGGGCCGGGGATAGCAGATGGATCTTTGTGGTCATCGCAACGGGAAGCCTGTTGAAACCACAGACGATTACGTCGGCAGACCAGTCGTGATGGATCGGCGGGGCTCCGTGTCGACACTAGGAGGTCCCGTCCGGTTGACAGAGAGGTAGATAGCCGGGAGATGGGCCTGACTCGAGGCTAGCTCAAGGCTGATTAGCTAACCACAACATCCATTCGGTTGCAGCTAGCTAGTTGCGATGATCCGGTGTTAAAGGTCCAGTGATTCAGTGATTCCGGCAGAAAATCCGATATGAATCTGGGTCGATAACACGCTGTGCAGACTGGCCAATAATAGTCCAGGCTAGAGCTGGCTGGTAGGTAGTGCAGGCCACGGACAATGGTGAAAAAAAACTGCTAACGGTGGCTAATAGCAAGTAGCTAGTTAGCTGGCTACTCCCGTCCGGTAGCCAGAGAGGCAGATAGCCGGGATATAGGCTTGGCTCGAGGCTAGCTCAAGGCTAACTGGTGCTTGCTTCGGGAGCAGTGGTGATTAGCCAACAGCAACATCCATTCGGTTGCGGCTAGCTGTTGCGATCTGTTGTTAAGGTCCAGTGATTCAGTTATTCCGGCAGAAAATCAGATGTTCTGGGTGAAAACCGCTAACGGTAGCTTATAGCAAGTAGCTAGTTAGCTGGCTAGCTAGTTACACTGGAGATAATGACACCAGCCCAAACCCCTCAGTCACTCCATACATTATCACTCCATAAGACTATGCCAAAATACAATCACCCATTTCCCACCTTCTATCTTTCTAAAGTACTCTGATTTGTATTAATTTATTTCAAAATGCCATATCATATCATAAAAAAATCTTGAAAGGAAAAACTTGATTGGGACTTGTAACATAATATCTTGATTAGTCTCTTTTATAAGCCATGTGTCAAACATTCCTGGCACATGACACAGCTACATCTTGATTGTTTGATTGAATACTTGATTAACATAGTTCTACTGCTATGAATGACAACTCAATGATAAAAATGCAGATTGTGCCTCATTCAAAGTAGCTGTCAGTCACTACTGCAACTGTCTCTTCATTCATTACTCACTCCCTCGGTACAGACTCAGACCTATGAGATCATCCTGACACTGGGACAGGCATTTGAGGTGGCCTATCAGCTGGCTCTCCAGACCAAGGCCAGGCAGTATGTCCCAGTCCCCCCAATGTCTCTGGGGTCAGAGGTCATTGAGACCAAATCTAGCCGGCCCACGTCACAGCAATGGAGCAGCATGAGGAGATCAACAGTGAGTACCACACACTGAGCACAAACAAAAAATTGCATGTGTAGCGCAACATGTAGCTGTGTGTGTGTTTCTATATGCATACAGTATGTACAGGTACAGTTGAAGTCGGAGGTTTACATACACCTTAGCCAAATACATTTAAACTCAGTTTTTCACAATTCCTGACATTTAATCCTAGTAAAAATACCCTGTCTTAGGTCAGTTAGGATCACCACTTTATTTTAAGAATGTGAAATGTCAGAATAATAGTAGATAGAATGATTTATTTCAGCTTTTATTTCTTTCATCACATTCCCAGTGGGTCAGAAGTTTACATACACTCAATTAGTATTTGGTAGCATTGCCTTTAAATTGTTTAACTTGGGTCAAATGTTTCGGGTAGCCTTCCACAAGCTTCCCACAATAAGTTGGGTGAATTTTGGCCCATTCCTCCTGACAGAGCTGGTGTAACTGAGTCAGGTTTGTAGGCCTCCTTGCTCGCACACACTTATTCAGTTCTGCCCACTAATTTTCTAGAGAATTGAGGTCAGGGCTTTGTGATGGCCACTCCAATACCTTGACTTTGTTGTCCTTAAGCCATTTTGCCACAACTTTGGAAGTATGCTTGGGGTCAATGTCCATTTGGAAGACCCATTTGCAACCAAACTTTAATTTCCTGACTGATGTCTTGAGGTGTTACTTCAATATATCCACATAATTTTCCTTCCTCATGATGCGATCTATTTAGTGAAGTGCACCAGTCCGTCCTGCAGCAAAGCACCCCCACAGCATGATGCTGCCACCCCCGTGCTTCACGGTTGGGATGGTGTTCTTCGGCTTGCAAGCCTTCCCCTTTTTCCTCCAAACATAACAATGGTCATTATGGCCAAATAGTTATATTTTTTGTTTCATCAGACCAGAGGACATTTCTCCAAAAAGTACGATCTTTGTCCCCATGTGCAGTTGCAAACCGTAGTCTGGCTTTTTTATGGCGGTTTTGGAGCAGTGGCTTCTTCCTTGCTGAGTGGCCTTTTAGGTTATGTTGCTATAGGAATCGTTTTACTGTGGATATAGATACTTTTGTACCTGTTTCCTTCAGCATCTTCACAAGGTCCTTAGCTGTTGTTCTGGGATTGATTTGCACTTTTCGCACCAAAGTCCAATGGTGTTTATACTTGCATACTATTGTTTGTACAGATGAACGTGGTACCTTCAGGCATTTGGAAATTGCTCCCAAGGATGAACCAGACTTGTGGAGGTCTACAATTATTTTTCTGAGGTCTTGGCTGATTTCTTTTGATTTTCCCATGATGTCAAGCAAAGAGGCACTGAGTTTGAAGGTAGGCCTTGAAAAACATCCACAGGTACACCTCCAATTGACTCAAATGATGTCAATTAGCCTATCAGAAGCTTCTAAAGCCATGACATCATTTTCTGGAATTTTCCAAGCTGTTTAAAGGCACAGTCAACTTAGTGTATGTAAACTTCTGACCCACTGGAATTGTGATACAGTGAATTATAAGTCTGTAAACAATTGTTGGAAAAATTACTTGTGTCATGCACAAAGTAGATGTCCTAACCAACTTGCCAAAACTATAGTGTGTTAACAAGAAATTTGTGGAGTGGTTGAAAAACGAGTTTTAATGACTCCAACCTAAGTGTATGTAAACTTCCGACTTCAACTGTAACTGCCAAAATAAAGGACACACCATAAAGTTTCTTAATAGGGTGTTGGGTCACCACGATCTGCCAGAACCGCTTTAATGCCCCTTGGAATAGATTCTACAAGTGTCCGGAACTCTATTGGAGGAATGCGACACCATTCTTCCACGAGAAATTCCATAATTTGGTGTTTTGTTGATGGTGGTGGAAATCGCTGTCTCAGGCGCCGCTCCAGAATCTCCCATAAGTGTTCAATTGGATTGTGACTGAAATACACACACACACACACACACTTTAAACCCCCTATGCTCTTTTAAGACCTCTCTTTCACTGAGATCTGTTCTTCCAGCCATGGTAGCCAAAATAACGGACAACTGGGCATTTTTATAAATGACTCTAAGCATGATGGGATGTTAATTGCTTAACTATCTCAGAAACCACACCTGTGTGGAAGCACCTGCTTTCAATATACGTTGTATCCCTCATTTACTCAAGTGTTTCCTTTATTTTGGCAGTTACCTGTATGTGTACATGCATAGGCATGTATGCATAAATATGCACGATCAGATGACACACAGTCCTCGTGACCGAATGTTCCTCCGGATTTTAAACCACTGATCACACCATAAAAAAAAGGAAGATTTGTAGTGCGATGAAAGTGATGACTCATTACTTTGCTACCAATCTCATCTCCCCAACTCTGAGTCATTTTCCTGCAGCCATACAGTTTGTGAAACTTGATGAATGAATAGTCTTATTTTTTGCTTACAGGCAGGACATGATTTAATCTGGAAATAAAGAGAGAGAGGGAGAACTGTGCATCTCTCTGCTGGTCGCCCGGCCCCTCCACTGATTCCCAGTATATTGATTCAGAATGTTACATAAATGTTTACGTATGCCCTGGACCATGTATGGATGTATTGACCTTTCAGGACCCTGAATAATGAACACTCAGTGATCATAGTCACCTGAGAAAGCTGCACTGTCTGGACCGTGCATGCACACTGCTCAACATGTTTATGCATCCACACAAATCACTGTGCTTTATTATCTGCTATAAACATAATATATCATGAGGTAATCAGTTCGCTGCATAATGCACAGGGTTGGCAGTATTTATTATCTAGTTTTAGGCAGTGGAATTCTAGGAACATCTAAAACAAGATAACTCCATTTGAAGCTTTTAATGTAGACAATAATTTCACAATTGTGAGATGACCTGTCCTTTTTTCCAATGTACTTTCATTCTTGCTAGGTATGCACTATTTTTGTCGGATGTAAATAATGGCATAAATCACTGTGCAGTTGATCACTTTGCACTGTGCTGTAGTGGCTGTGTCTAGATACTGGAGGAGCCTGGCTAGTACAGTCCAGTCTAGTTGACAGATGCGTTAAAGCACTGCTATGCCAGCTGCTGTCCAGTATTTAAACAAAATCTGAGTTAAATCTTATTAACATTATTTGTCTACACCTAATAGGTTGTGATAAATTACCTAGATTATTCACTTTTTATATCTTGCACCGCTATGGTCAGTTCTGTGCCACTATAAATGCTCTGTCCTTCTATTTCCCCGTTTAACATTTCTTTGTTCTTGTCTTCTTGGTCCTCCTGTTTCCCAGGGTGCCCCTCCGCTAGAATGCCGCTGCTGTTACTGTCACACGTGTACTACCCACCGCCCCTCCTTCCTCCCGTTGCACTCTGTTAGCCCTGGAGTCCAGGTCCTGCTCTCTCCTCCTTTCCGCTATCCTTCATCATCCATCTGCTAACCCCCCTGACACACCTCTCTCTCTCTCTTATCATTCCATGTCCACCTTTTGGTTTGCTTCCAGGCACTTCATCTAGCTACAGAATATTTGCCCTTTTGACATGACATATCATACACTGAATTTCTGCCACATTCTCTATTTTCTCATAGTCATTCCATTTTAGCTGTTTTAAGATAAGCAGTTATTTCTCATTATTCTTTCCTGAGGATAAGTAGGCTATACATTAGCTTTGATCTAACCATCTACGGAAGATTCATGGCTTAGCAGTTCTGCTGCTAATGATCTAGTGCTTTAATTTCATGGTTGTGTGATCAGTATAAATAGCAACACGCTTGAGGTGGCTTATTGAGTCTTAATCCTCCTATATCACTAAGCTTTTGGATTCTGATGAATCTGATATTTGACAGCTAGAATTGAATGATGTTCTTGTACACCCCAGTTTTCCATTGCCACAATGTTCTTAATCAGTTGTGTTTCATGTAATTAGACATACAGGACTACTAATTTAAGTTCATTTATTCACATGGAAAAGCTATAACATATTATGTGTATGGCTACTCATGTGTTAACAGAGACTTTTGTTTGGGTGAGAGCATGTTATGAGCGCATGTTTGGGTCCTTATGGTGTTTTCACATTTTCACTTAACTTGAAACCCATATTAAGAGACAGATGGGAGTGTGTGTGGTCTGTTAGGTTTCCAGCAGCCTGTTTTGCTATCAGACATCTCTATGTTGTGGATTGAGCCCTGGTGTCTGTGATTCTAATATCACTGGACTGTGCCTTTAATCCACTTGCACGTGGGCTGAGGACTTGAGTGTGCGATGGCCTCCACCACTCCTGCAGTCTCACGCCCGTCTCTCGTCCCCCCTCCCCTGGCAGATTGACCCTCTGGAGATGGACGCAGACATGCAGTCCCTGGGCAGCGCCACCTGGCTCTTCAACCAGAGAGACTCCAACAAGCGCCCTGTCAGCACCAAGTACGAGACCACCATATTCTGAGGCTGGATCCCCTGCCCCGCCCTCACCCTGTCCTAGCACCCAGTTTGCCCCCTGACCTCCACCACCCTCTCTCTCTGTCTCACGAGCCCTGTGCCTTCTCACTGTGATGGTAGCATCCCTCTGAGCTCCCCCCTCTCCTCTGCTCTGCTCTGACATCCCACATCCCTGCAGCCCTCTCTCCTGTCTTATTCCTGTCCTGTTCCTCACCCCTTGGCAGCCCCTTCCCCTACTGATGGGGCCCCTTGACTTGTGGATGGACCTGGAGTGAACCTACAATGGCCCTGCTCTCTCAACCAAACTGCCTCCTCCTCCTCCTCCCAACTACTCATCTGCATTCACCCCTATTAGGTTTATCATCATTGAAGAGATTGTGGCTTTTTTGTTCTCTTCCTGTCATGCTATTCTTTTTCCACGTGACTGCCTTCAGTCGAAACAATCCAGACTTCTTTTTTCTGTTGAGCTGCCTGTTGCATTTTTACCTCACAGTAACATGATTAGCATTGGTTGTACTGCCAATGTGAACAAAAAAATTACAAACCTTCATAAGTTCCTCTATTTATCTAATACCAAAGGAGTACTACTCTTGGGCTATTATCCACAGACAGTTTTGGTCCCAAGCAGAGTGGAACAAAGAACATTATTGTTTCCCAAACTCAGCCTATCCTACTCAGTCATAAACAATATTTTATCCCCTTCCCAAAAGGATTAACTATTTTTCTCATCTTTTTAATGCTGTTTATTTTTGTATTTCACTTGTTTTTCCCTCAGGCACGTTAAATATTTTTATTTCCCTATCTGTAGCTTGTCCTGTCTTACCAGGCATCTACCACTGTGAGGCACTGTGAGGAGGCATATCTAGCCTGGGATGCATGAAGGACAGAAAATCTATACGAAAGACAAAAAACAATCAACAAACTTTTTTCTATGCATTTTTTATCATACAGTGATGGATCGTCAAGGAATCTTCCCTTTCCATTTATAATGGATCAAGAACTGAACCTACATTTCCTGTGTGATTCTGTACACAAATGGACTGGACAACTCTTCCATCACTCTGCCAAGAACAGTAGTAGCCTTACTTCAATCTGGCAATCTATCAGTTTGAATCTAAATGTAATCAATTGAGCATCCTTGCCACCATCACACACTCTCCACACTTGCTGACTGCTGCACACGTCTTTCATGGTTTAAAAGACTTACAGCACTTTTGAGTTGACAACACATGAACACTTTGGCTGAGCTGCAGTGAAGGTGTTGAAATGGTACAGGTTTGTCCAGATAATAATGTATATGATGCTCTGTAGCTCCACAGTGTGCATGGTGCCTCTCACCAGTCATTTTATTACCAAGAGAGACTATTCGGCTCATCAGAGAACACTGTGTTAAAACATGGCACTATCCCCTTTAAAAAGAAAATGTTTGTTTCAAAATTATACAGTATGTCATTTTTTTAACCATTATTAATAAGAGATGCTTTTAAAAGGAACGGGACTTCCTGAAATGTATTTAGTGAGAGAAACCAAGGAAAATCGTAACAACACAACAATGTATTGCCATAGTAAAATAATGCAAATACAAATTTGCGAAAACACCTCATGAAGGCCACATTTTAGGTATGTCCGAGGACTTTGGGGGCAATAATTGTATTTGCCAATTCATTGTGAAAAGTATAAGATATTCCCAATAACATTGCTTACATTTCTTTACTATGAGGCAGGTTGTGTTGCCGAACTCCTGCAATCCATGCCACTGATTCAGCATGAGGTAAAATGTGTCACTAGAAAATGAACAACAGTGCCCAGGATTCAGGCTTACTCATTGTTTGAACTTTACATTTGAGGGATCAAAATGTAATTAGATATGGTTTTATTATGCAAATTGACTTTGGGTTGAAAATATATTTGAAACTGCAGGTCTACAGGAGCTATCTATCTGTTGGTTCTATCTATTTGTGTTTTGCTCAACCTATTTTGTGTGCTGTGTTGCCTTGTGTTTGTGTCCTCCTGTGAGGATGGCCTGTTCTGTCTCTGGCGCTGTCCTCATTCTGTGTCCCTGCTGCAGGAGATGTTATGTTTAGCCTCTCTCCAAACGATACAGGATGGCTGACTGGAGAATGAGTGTTAAGACTTGACAGTCTCTGTGTGGTACTGTAGCTGTGTCTCATCGTTGTTCTGTTCTGACTAATACTGTAGCTACCACTGATGCATGTGGCAGTATTTGTTTCGTCCTCTGATGCACTTGACCCATTGAGGTGTACATATGTAGTAGTGTCTTTTGTTTGCCTTTTGTTTTACTTTTTTATCCATTACACAAATACAGCATCTCATTTACATTCTCCAGCATTGTCATTTCTCATGCACTAAGTATGTCCCTCCCTGTTATGTGTTGAAATCATGAAGACACATTCAACCTGCTCTGGTTTGGGTGCATATAAATGCCTTACATTTTAAAGAGCAGAAGCTATTTTAAGCAGACACAATGTGGTGGCATGATTTGGCTGTGCATGTTCCTGTCTTTTTTAACGCCAGTGTTTTCCTTGTGTAGCTCACTCCAGCATTCAAGTTTCCGGACACCAAGCTGTGAGTTGAAGTGGAGCAGCCAATGTGAGTGTCTGCGTGTGTGTAGACTAGAGCCAGAGAGACTAACAGGGATACATGCAGAGGGTCTATGAGGGACTGTTTGATAAGGTCTGCTGCCTTCTACAACCTCACATGAATACCAAGTAACAGATAAAGGATAATCTTACACTTGCTGTCTGTCTCAACTGGGCATGCAGGGCCTGTCTCTTACTCCTATCTCGAGAAAGTTCAGTCTGAAAGGTCAAATCTCCTCCCTGGCCTCACACTGACTGTCTTTCCCTCCACTATTTACTTTATGTAGGTACTGTAATCTACAGAATATAGACAATTAATGATGGGCCAGTAATGACAATTTGTATTGATTTAGGTCTATTTGAGATAATCATGTTGTTACTGTAAGGATCAAGGAGAGTCAACGAGAGTACATTCATCAAATGTAGCACTACTGTACCAGCATATAATGCTATGCCCATGTATTTGTGGACAGAGTATAGTTTGTCAATGATTATGTGATAATGTTTATTTATTCAAATTAAAAGCAATATATACCTGAAATTAAATAGTACAATGGAAAATGTTATTCTTAAGGTATTTGATTGTGTCTTAGGGCATCTTACTTGCATGAGAGTTTGATGGAGCTGGCAGACAATATATTCTATGAGAGTTAATTGCATCTCTTCGTCACAAAGACTAGCCCAGGTACTGGCAGAGAAATGTACAAAGTCATACTCCCTGACTAGCAGACATTTAGAACAGAAAATATGATGGAAATAAACTGATGCAATTTTTAAATACATTATTTTCATATGGCTAACTAATGTAGTTAGAGGCTAAAATACATTATTCAATGGAGAAACAACTGTTTCAAATTATGTAGAAAATGCAATTTACAAACTCTGTACCCTTGTAAAAACTGGAAGCTTCTACACATGTAGCTTCTACCGGCTGTAGTGTCTGTTATTTAGTTAAACGTGAGATCTTAGCATGGTATTGTAGGTCTAATTCACTTACCGGTAAGTAAAGGGTGTAAAAAGGGATGAACATCAGTAGATGCTGTGATTTTCAAAGAATGTCATACTAAAATATGTATGTAGTTAATTTCAGAAGGGTTGTTGTGCTAGGCTGAGGCCTCCGATGATGAAGTTGGCTATATGATAATAATGTTTACCTCTGCAATGAGATGTCAATGGCATGCTTTATTCCATCAGGCTGGAAGGCACCCTTTACTTTTTGTTATGAGCATTAATGGCATAATATACTGAACAAAAATATAAATACAACATGTAAAGTGTTAGTCCCATGTTTCATGAGCTGAAATAAAAGATCCCAGAAATATCCCATATGCACAAAAAGCTTATTTATCTCAATTTTATTTATTTATTTAAAAGGGTTTTAATTAGGCATTTTATTTATTTTTGTACTCCCTTTTTCTCCCCAATTTCGTGATATCCAATTGCAATCCAATTACGATCTTGTCTCATCGCTACAACTCTCCAACGGGATCGGGAGAGGCGAAGGTCGAGTCATGCATCCTCCCGAAACATGACCCGCCAAACCGCGCTTCTTAACACCCGCTGACTTAACCCGGAAGCCAGCCGCACCAATGTGTCGGTGGAAACACCGTTCAACTGACGACCGAAGTCAGCCTGCAGTCACCCAGCCCGCCACAAGACGTCGCTAGAGCGCAATGAGCCAAGTAAAGCCCCCCTCAGCCAAACCCTCCCCTAACCCCGACGACGCTGGGCCAATTGTGCGCCGCCCTATGGGGACTCCCAATCGAACTCCAGGCTGTAGTGATGCCGCAACACTGTGATGCAGTGCCTTTGACCGCTGCGCCACACGGGAGGCCTCACATTTTTAACACAAATTTGTTTACATCCCTGTTAGTTAGCATTTCTCCTTTGCCAAGATAATCCATCCATCTGATAGGTGTGGCATATCAAGAAGCTGATTAAACAGCATGGTCATTACACAGGTGCACCTTATGCTGGGGACAATAAAAGGTTACTCTAAAATGTGCAGTTTTGTCACACAACACAATGCAACAGATGTCTCAAGTTTTGAGGGAGCGTGCAATTGGCATCCTGAATGCAGGAATGTCCACTAGAGCTGTTGCCAGAGAATGTAATGTTAATTTCTGTACCATAAGCCACCTCCAACGTCGTTTTAGAGAATTTGGCAGTACGTCCAATCGGCCTCATAACCGCAGACGTGTAACCAAGCCAGCTCAGGACCTCCACATCCGGCTTCTTCACCTGCGGGATCATCTGAGACCAACCACCCGGGACAGCTGATGAAACTGTGGGTTTGCACAACCAAAGTATTTCTGCACAAACTGTCAGAAACTGTCTCAGGGAAGCTCATCTGCATGCTCGTAGTCCTCACCAGGGTCTTGGCCTGACTACAGTTCGGCGTCGTAACCGACTTCATTGGGCAAATGCTCACCTTCGATGGCCACTGGCATGCTGGAGAAGTGTGCTTTTCACAGATGAATACCGGTTTCAACTGTACCGGACAGATGGCGTTGTGTGGGCGAGCGGTTTGCTGATGTCAACGCTTTGAACAGTGTGCCCCTTCATGGAGGTGGGGTTATGGTATGGGCAGGCATAAGCTACGGACAATGAACACAATTGCATTTGATCAAATGGCAATTTGAATGCACAGAGATATCGTGATGAGATCCTGAGGCCCATTGTCGTGCCATTCATCCTCCGCCATTACCTCATGTTTCAGCATGATAATGCACAGCCATGTCACAAGGATCTGTACACAATTCCTGGAAGCTGAAAATGTCCCAGTTCTTCCATGGCCTGCATACTCACCAGACATGTCACCCATTGAGCCTGTTTGGGATGCTCTGGATCGACGTGTGCGACAGCGTGTTCCAGTTCCCACCTATATCCAGCAACTTTGCATAGCCATTGAAGAGGAATGGGACAACATTCCACAGGCCACAATCAACAGCCTGATCAACTCTATGCGAAAGAGATGTGTCGCGCTGCATGAAGCAAATGGTGGTCACACCAGATACTGACTGGTTTCTAATCCACGCCCCTACCTTTTTTTGAAGGTATCTGTGACCAACAGATGCATATCTGTATTCCCAGTCATGTGAAACCCATAGATTGTGGCCTAATTTATTTATTTCAATTGACTGATGTCCTTATATGAACACATGTTGCGTTTATATTTTTGTTCAGTGTAATAATCCATTATTGACCAAGATCATATGGCCACACTTTTATACTTCAGAAGTTCTTTATAAGATACACTATATATACACAAAAGTATGCCGACACCCCCTTCAAATTAGTGGATTTGGCTATTTCAGCCACACCCGTTGCTGACAGGTGTATAAAATCCAGCACACAGCCATGCAATCTCCATAGACAAACATTGCCAGTAGAATGGCCTTACTGAAGAGCTCAGTGACTTTCAACGTGGCACCGTCATAGGATGCCACCTTTCCAACAAATCAGTTCCTCAAATTTCTGCCCTGCTAGAGCTAACCCGGTCAACTGTAAGTGCTGTTATTGTGAAGTGGAAACATCTAGGAGCAACAACGGCTCAGCCGAACACAGAACGGGACCACCGAGTGCTGAAGCGCGTAGCGCATAAAAATCGCCTGTCCTCGGTTGCAACACTCACTACCGAGTTCCAAACCACCTCTGGAAGCAACGTCAGCACAATAACTGTTAGTTGGGAGCTTCATGAAATGGGTTTCCATGGCCGAGCAGGCAGCCTCACACAAGCCTAAGATCACCATGCGCAATGCAAAGCGTCGGCTGGAGTGGTGTAAAGCTCACTTCCATTGGACTCTGGAGCAGTGGAAACGCATTCTCTGGAGTGACGCTTCACCATCTGGCAGTCCGACGGACGAATCTGGGTTTGGCGGATGCCAGGAGAACCCTACCTGCCCCAATGCATAGTGCCAACTGTAAAGTGTGGTGGAGGAGGAATAATGGTCTGGGCTGTTTTTCATAGTTCGGACTAGGCCCCTTAGTTCCAGTGAAGGGAAATCTTAACGCTACAGCATACAATGAAATTCTAGACGATTCTGTGCTTTCAACTTTGTGGCAACAGTTTTGGAAAGGCCCTTTCCTGTTTCAGCATGACAATGCCCCGTGCACAAACCGAGGTCCATACAGAAAGGGTTTGTCGAGATCGGTGTGGGAGAACTTGACTAGCCTGCACAGAATCCTGACCTCAACACCATCTAACACCTTTGGGATGAATTGGAACGATTGGAACGCAGACTACGAGCCAGGCCTAATCGCCCAACATCAGAGCCCAATCTCAATAATGCTCCCTGCAGAAATGTTCCAACATCTAGTGGAAAGCCTTCCCAGAAGAGTGGAGGCTGTTAAAGCAGCAAAGGGGAAACCAACTCCATATTAATGCCCATGATTTTGGAATGAGATGTTCGACGAGCAGGTGTCCACATATTTTTGGTCATGTAGTGTATGTATACACTACCGGTCAAATGTTTTAGAACACCTACTCATTCAAGGGTTTTTCTTAATTTTTTTGTAACTATTTTCTACATTGTAGAATAAGAGTAAAGACATCAAAACTATGAAATAACACATATGGAATCATGTAGTAACCAAAAAAAGTGTTAAACAAATCAAAATATATTTTTATATTTGATTTTTCAAATAGCCACCCTTTGCCTTGATGACAGCGTTGCACACTCTTGCCATTCTCTCAACCGGCTTCACCTGGAATGCTTTTCCAACAGCCTTGAAGGTGTTCCCACATATGCTGAGAACTTGTTGGCTGCTTTTCCTTCCCTCTGCGGTCCGACTCATCCCAAACCATCTCAATTTGGGTGAAGTCGGGGGATTGTGGAGGCCAGGTCATCTGATGCAGCACTCCATCACTCTCCTTCTTGTTAAAATAGCCCAAACCAGATGGGATGCCGTATCGCTGCAGCATGCTGTGGTAGCCATGCTGGTTAAGTGTGCCTTGAATTCTAAATAAATCACAGACAGTGTCACCAGCAAAGCACCCTCACACTATAACACCTCCTCCTCCATGCTTTACGGTGGGAAATACAAATGCGGAGATCATCCGTTCACCCACACTGCATCTCACAAAGACACAGCGGTTGGAACCAAAAATCTCCAATTTGGACTCCAGACCAAAGGACAAATTTCCACCGGCCTAATGTCCATTGCTCGTGTTTCTTGGCCCAAAAAGGCTCTTCTTCTTATTGGTGTCCTTTAGTAGTGGTTTCTTTGCAGCAATTCGATCACGAAGGCCTGATTCACACAGTCTCCTCTGAACAGTTGGTGTTGAGATGTGTCTGTTACTTGAACTCTGTGAAGCATTTATTTGGCCTACAATATCTGAGGCTGGTAACTCTAATGAACTTATCCTCTGCAGCAGAGGTAACTCTGGGTCTTTCATTCCTGTGGCGGTCCTCATGAGACACAGTTTCATCATAGCGCTTGATGGTTTTTGCAACTGCACTTGAAGAAACTTTCAAAGTTCTTGAAATGTTCCGTATTGACTGACCTTCATGTCTTAAAGTAATGATGCACTGTCGTTTCTCTTTTCTTATTTGAGCTGTTTTTGCCATAATATGGACTTGGTCTTTTACCAAATAGAGCTATCTTCTGTGTACCCCCCCTACCTTGTCACAACACAACTGATTGGCTCAAACGCATTAAGGAAAGCTTTTAAGAAGGCACACCTGTTAATTGAAATGCATTCCAGGTGACTACCTCATGAAGCTGTTTGAGAGAATGCCAAGAGTGTGCAAAGCTGTCATCAAGGCAAGGGGTGGCTACTTTGAAGAATCTAAAATCTAAAATAAATGTTGATTTGTTAAACACTTTTTTGGTTACTACATGATTCCATATGTGTTATTTCATAGTTTTGATGTCTTCACTATCATCCTACAATGTAGAAAATCGTAAAAATAAAGAAAAACCCTTGAATGAGTAGGTGTGTCCAAACTTTTGACTGGTACTGTATATATTCCACTTATCTCATGGCCTGTCATATGTTTAACAAACTTAGCTAATGTATTTACATCCTTCTAAATTCTACATAAACAGTATACACTCTATATTATGTAAATGTTGAATGGCAGCGTATGCAGGTGACCCAAGTTGTTGGGGGGGGGGGGGGGGGACTGGCGGGAGTCCCCCATCTCGGCCTCTCCCGGTGGGAACAGCAGCTTCCTGAGGATGGAGGTGTAAAAGGGTCCAAAGACTGTGCAGTTAAAATGGACCATTCGCCCAAAGGCCATTCCCAGCTCTGCTAGCTCAGCACTCAGCAGCCTCAGAGCAGGGGACATTGATGGACTCCTTTTAGTGGGGCTTCCCTCCAGCATGGCCTGGAGGTAGCCCTGTACTCTCTCTCCTACAGTATGTGTCGGATGCAAAGAGAGAAATCAGCCTGCTGCATCGCCCATCTGACTTACATACCGTGCTAAACTGTACAACTGTATGGGACTCATAATTCTATCAATAAAGCTTCAATTGATCTCCACATATCTCAGGATAAACACAGTACTCATGCAATAGTTACTCTAGAATGCTGAAGCATTATCTTAAGAAGTACTTGGGAGGTCAGGTTTAGGTTGCCCCCGACTGGTGGCGACTGACCTATGAGAGTGCGGATGGGGTTGTTATCCTTTGCCTTGTCTGAGATCTGTCGCTTGAGCCCGTCTTCACTGTCCTGAGGCAGAGCTGGTCCTCCCTGTGTGATCAGAGCCTCCTTCACCTGCACAAGCACCTGCTCCCCCAGCCCCAGCAACGCCCCCTGCAGGTCAAAGTCACTGAGCGCACGAGAGAGACTGGTGTCAAACATCCATTCAGAACGGCTGCAGGATAAGGATTTACGTAACTCTCACAATCGATTGTCCTTACTGTATAATTGTTTTAGTTTTTTTGTTACGTTAACTATGAGCTATTTCTCGAGCCTGTAGAATCGAGGGTTTGTTGCATATGTTTACACAGCAGGAGTTAAGCGCTTGTCAACTTCCATGTTCTGTTAAACATTACCTGTGCCCAGAGACAGCCAGTAAATCCCCCCAACTCTTACCTGTTGTGACTGCCCTCCAGCAGGGCAGTGATGGTCTGCTTGAGTTTACATACAAACCCCTGCGAAGAAAAAACAGTGGCCCCACACTGTGTGCTGTTCAACAGCAGAACTGATGCCTGTAGAACCAGTAGGCTCAGTCTCTGTTCCAGTACCTCCAAGCGGGCTCTGTCCATCAGAACTGTCTGTGGAGGGAGAGGAGAAATTTGAACATGAGCTACTATAACTATTTTTTACCATTGATATGTGGGGGTGAAACCGCAGGGAATTATTGTAGGGTAATCTCAGTCTATTGTCATTTCCTTGTTAAAAATTGCTTCAACCACCTTCTTCCTGGATTAGATTCGCCACTAAACTGCATGAACTGTCAATATGCTTATTATGCCACTATGAAGACAGAACCAAGCGGGGTCCTGTTGTTTGATTACCTCAGGGTAGGTCTGGTTGTTGGGGTCCCAGCTCAGCAGACGCAGGTAAGCCCTGTTCAGAACGAATGTAGGACTGACTGGACCACGTGGCCTGGGAGTCCCAGGGTCAAGGTCGGACTGGGCACTGACCGATGCCTACTCTTGTCCTGCCACCTGAAGCCAAACAGTGGTATTGTCCAGGAACACTGGTTAGAAAGGTTTATTAAATTACTTTGAAACCAGTAAAATAAACAACAAAAAAGGAGCATGTCAGGAGCATGTCAGATTTGACAGGACTGAAATGCTTTTAAGTGTAGATTTATTCTAAGAACCTTGTCTCACTCACCTGGCTGCTTCAACAGGATCTCCTGGAACTTGGCTTGCTCGTACTGGACAGCCTGCTGCAAAAGATGAGGCCTGAGGCTCTGAACAGTAAAGTTGACCATGTCTGCCTTAATCAGGCCAAGGACTCGGAAGATCACCCTGTTAGTCAGGAAAGGAAAATATTTCTTAGCATCATACCATAAGTAGGCCTAGGTCCATTACCGGACATGTGTGGACCATACCCAGGGTAATTATGATTAGAGCAGTGGAGGCTGCTGAGAGTGGAATGGCTCATAATAATGGCTGGAATGGAGCAAATGGAATGGCATCAAACCATGTGTTTGATGCATTTGATACCATTCCACCTACTCCGCTCCAGCAATTACCACGAGCCCGTCCTCCCCAATTAAGGTGCCACCAACCTCCTGTGGATTAGAGGAATATTCTGGGAAGGAGCTTCTGAGAGTTGAACTATTTTGAGATTGTCTTTCACAAGGTAACTTGGTTACATTTCAATATCTGACATGATACATATACTTTTTTTTTTACCGTAAAATGAGCTCATTGAGTCTCTCTCTCACTTGAGGAGCTCCACTGGGTCCGAGAGGTCCTGTAGGGTCCTGATCTTTGGGTCTCGTATAGGGGCACACAGGGAGGCCATGGTATTGATGATGTAGCCTGACAGTCTTTGCAGGTCCAGGGCCCCATGATCTGCCTGCTGCTGGATCAGATCCAGAACCTCCTCCACCTGGGCCCTCAGATGCACATGGCCTGGCAGGAGCAGGGACAGCATGGACTGACCACACAGGGGACAACCACACAGTGGGTCACTTAAATTAACATCTAGTTGTTCTTACTTTTTCACTGTCAATGCTGAGAAACTGAGAGAAGGAGGGTACATTACCATACTTACAGTTTTTACCTCTTGTAGCAGAATGACTACATGGGTATAGTCTGGAGGGCTGCATAAAAGCTGCTCACGAAGACAGTCCCAGAAAGCACGGTGAACTATGTCATTCACTCTCCCTTCCAAGCTAAAAGGAAATGAAAAACAATCTGTTATTTCAAAGTGACTGAAATTATTATTTACACAGGAATTGTGTGTGTTTCATAGCTTGTCTTCTTATCTGTCTTTGGGTGGGCTGTTCTGTCTGAAGATGAAGTCTCTGTTGATCACTATCTCATGTGCAATTCTCCAAATCCATCATATCTGAGAGTGAGGCTTTGGGAGGGCTCCCTGGAGCATGGACACACACATACACACAGAGAGAGAGAGAGAGAGAGAGAGAGAGAGAGAGAGAGAGAGAGAGAGAGAGAGAGAGAGAGAGAGAGAGAGAGATACAGTGGCTTGCGAAAGTATTCACCCCCCTTGGCATTTTTCCTATTTCGATGCCTTACAACCTGGAATTAAAATTGATTTTTGGGGGGTTTGTATCATTTGATTTACACAACATGCCTACCACTTTGAAGATGCAAAATATTTTTTGGGGTGAAACAAACAAGAAATAAGACAAAAAAACAGAAAACTTGAGCGTGCATAACTATTCACTCCCCCAAAGTCAATACTTTGTAGAGCTACCTTTTGCAGCAATTACAGCTGCAAGTCTCTTGGGGTATGTCTCTATAAGCTTGGCACATCTAGCCACTGGGATTTTTGCCCATTCTTCAAGGGAAAACTGCTCCAGCTCCTTCAAGTTGGATGGGTTCCGCTGGTGTACAGCAATCTTTAAGTCATACCACAGATTCTCAATTGGATTGAGGTCTGGGCATTGACTAGGCCATTCCAATACATTTAAATGTTTCCCCTTAAACCACTCGAGTGTTGCTTTAGCAGTATGCTTAGGGTCATTGTCCTGCTGTAATGTGAACCTCTGTCCCAGTCTCAAATCTCTGGAAGATTGAAACAGGTTTCCCTCAAGAATTTCCCTGTATTTAGCACCATCCATCATTCCTTCAATTCTTTCCCATTCCCTGCCGATGAAAAACATCCCCACAGCATGATGCTGCCACCACCATGCTTCACCGTGGATGGTGTTATCGGGTTGATGAGAGGTGTTGGGTTTGCGCCAGACATAGCGTTTTCCTTGATGGCCAAAAAGCTCAATTGTAGTCTCATCTGACCAGAGTACCTTAATAATAAATAATAATAATAATATGCCATTTAGCAGACGCTTTTATCCAAAGCGACTTACAGTCATGCGTGCATACATTTTTGTGTATGGGTGGTCCCGGGGATCGAACCCACTACCTTGGCGTTACAAGCGCCGTGCTCTACCAGTTGAGCTACAGAGGACCACACCTTCTTCCATATGTTTGGGGAGTCTCCCACATGCCTTTTGGCGAACACCAAACGTGTTTGCTTATTTCTTTCTTTAAGCAATGGCTTTTTTCTGGCCACTCTTCCGTAAAGCCCAGCTCTGTGGAGTGTACGGCTTAAAGTGGTCCTATGGACAGATACTGCAATCTCCGCTGTGGAGCTTTGCAGCTCCTTCAGGGTTATCTTTGTTGCCTCTCCGATTAATGCCCTCCTTGCCTGGACTGTGAGTTTTGGTGGGCGGCCCTCTCTTGGCAGGTTTGTTGTGGTGCAATATTTTTCCATTTTTTAAATAATGGATTTAATGGCGCTCCGTGGGATGTTCCAAGTTTCTGATATTTTCTTATAACCCAACCCTGATCTGTACTTCTCCACAACTTTGTCCCTGACCTGTTTGGAGAGCTCCTTGGTCTTCATGGTGCCCCTTGCTTAGTGGTGTTGCAGACTCTGGGGCCTTTCAGAACAGGTGTATATATACACTGAGATCATGTGACAGATCATGTGACACTTAGATTGCACACAGGTGGACTTTATTTAACTAATTGTGACTTCTGATGGTAATTGGTGGCACCAGATCTTATTTAGGGGCTTCATAGCAAAGGGGGTGAATACATATGCACACACCACTTTTCCGTTATTATTTTTTAGAAACAAGTTATTTTTTTCATTTCACTATTTTGTGTATGTCCATGACATGAAATCCAAATAAAAATCCATTTAAATTACAGGTTGTAATGCAAATAGGAAAAACGCCAAGGGGGATGAATACTTTTGCAAGGCACTTAGATTGCACACAGGTGGACTTTAACTAATTATTAGATACAGAGACCAAGAGAGAGTGAGTGAGAGAGGGAGAGAAGTAAACTAAACTTATTACACTATGAATACCAACAAAATCACATAATATGAATCTATAGGCTACCAATGATAGGAAAATAATGAGTGCATACCTGTTGGGGAGTCAAGTTTCTGGAGACAAGGCACATCACAGCGTGTTGCCTCCCCCTCCTCGATTGGGTTTGCATTCTGCATGACTAGACCAATCAAAATAAAGTCATTGTTGTCTCATAATATCAATCGTCTCTTACACCTTTTGTCTGGAATGCATTCACCATCAACAAAACGGGGTATAATTTCATACTGCATTTTGATTAGCTTATTAAACTATCAGAGAACCAAACTCACTTACCAACACTTTTGTTGAGTCTTCAGATAACGTTTGTAAATCAGTGTAAAGTTGTAAATTATACGCACACGATAAAATGCAACTGTGTAGCACATGAATGTATCAGGGATGTGTATTTACTACAATGTAACATCAGCGCAATAAAGTTTAAATCGGACCAAACCATTGCAAGTGCGGGAGACTTTATGCTTAAAGGTTTTATATGTAGTAATCATACTACAAATCTATACGCTGTGCATACATATTTGAAATATGTAACTGTTTATCAATTTAACATACCGAAAATGGCCAAACGTTTTATGTTCTGGTTTCACGCTCAATATTTGACACAACAGAGGGGCGTGCGGTGTGCTCTTACAGTTCAGCCCCGAGACCGTGAGATCCTACAGCAATGTTTTGACAATTAGGAATGGTACGAAGTACTACAAAGTTCGCCTTTATGTATTTTGTTACCAGGGAAAAACAATAAAGCGAGCACGTGTAGTGTGCTGTTTTAAAGTTCTCTCTGAAGTGAAATAGATGGAAACCGTCAAAACAACCGGAATTGTCCATATTGAGTCCGTTTTTTAATTTGTTAAAGCACACAATAGGTCTGAACCCTGGTTTGAATGTCTATGGTGTGATCATACCATGGCACTTAGAAGTGATTGACATATGAGTAGGCCTACCCTAAAAGCAAAGCCACAGACCACACATTACTTTTTGAGTGGTAGGAAAGGAATCGTAAATATCTAACTAGAGGGACTAAAATAATCCCAAATCACTGATAAATTCCTCCTGCGCACTGAATGGTAACATTCATCTGCCACATATCCTACAAATTCAGTCGCATACATTATCAAAACTAAATAGACTTGGAAGCAGCCACTATTACATTTTTCAATACACCAACATATTCAAAACCACTGTACTTCAATTGTTGTACAAGCACTACCCTTTAAGCACCACTAGAGGACAGGCTAAATTTGTGACAAAATAATACAGATAAATATGTTACCATGTACTTACACTGTAATACATGCCCATGTAATAATGATACAAGACAACAGGAAGGAAGGAGGATCTTTCAGAGTTCTGGAGACAACTGCAATCCACCCAAAGGACCATGTGCGATCAGTGAAGCTACTGGTCTTGCTACTGTACTGAACATGCCATAGTATCAAACTCAAGCAAATATAGATTTGAACACAAAATGAATAAAACAAATACAACTTTGACTATGTTACAGATTTATCATTGAAAAATGTTACGTAACAAATTCAGTTATTTGATAAATACAGGCATTTGACAAAGCATCTCAAACAAATAATTAAAAAACACAATTGACCATTCATCACGACAAGCAGACATTTTTTTTTTTTTTTTTTAACACTAAAAAGACACCTTCCCCAAGCCATGATATTTACATGTTTGCATATTTCAAAATACTTAACCATTTTCATATAAAACATTATGGATAACTTAAAAGCAAATACAGGCATGTTAATTCCTTACAGGTAGCTTTAGATTCATACAGAACTGACAACTCACCAAACCAACCGTTTTAATTTCAGACCCAATCAAGTCATTTTGGTTGTATTAATTGAAACTAAGGAGAAGAGCACCAATCATTTTAAGTGCTAGTGGAATAAAAGAGGTATGATGGTGAACATCCACAGTGAGTTCCTTGAGATGTGTGTCTTTTCAGCCTTGTGGTCAACCCATAGATAGAATGGGTCAACCCTACAGTCATAGAAGAAGACCTCACAGGATGTGAAATCTGACCCAGGAATAAATAAGGTATGGCATGATGTCTTGGTGAATCACATTTGGAAAGAAGATTGTGTGTCTAAGCCAGCAAAATGTACAGGGAAAGTATTGATTTTGTACATGAAAGCAAAATCAATGTCACAAAGTAACAGCTTAAACTGCTCTGAGCAAAGTGAAATGCCATGCAGTGTATGTGTATGGTTGGTGATCATTATGAAATGGAGCTTAGCATCTGTTGTATAAGACTCAAACTGGTGACTGTCTTACAGGCTTTCATTTGTTCCCTGACAAACATACTGTACATGTACGGCTGTCAATAACATCAGATCAGCACCAAAATAAACATACCACGTATGCAGTCAATGATAATTAAATTCACAATTATACTTCAGGAGAAAGTAATTCAGATATACCCACATATCTCATTTCCTACAGGCTCAAATATATCCTTGCAGTGCTTTTAGCACTATTTGTGCCATTCCTCTAACGCAATCAGTCCATTAAAGTATTTTCCTGACAACCAAGGGGATGAACAGTTGTCTATCTATCCATCTGTCTGCAGGCCATGAATAAATGTACCATGAAGGAGCCAATCCAAAGGTGGGATGAAAGATGGTAGTGCAGAGTTAAGGTAGTCATCAGTGCGATGGCGACATGTTTAATCTTGTCCCAGAGTATGACTCCTTCCCACCAAACACAGACTAACATGCACTCATACGCACACAGACATACAACAAACACACATGCACACATATCAGCACCATATCAACCCATCATGGCTAAGAGTCTTTGAGTATATTGATGCTTGCGTAGATCTTAAGTGCAGGTCCCAGTTTAATGTTCATGGCACTCATAAGGTGGTCCTCTTTCAGTAGGAGCATGGCCTGCCCGTCTATCTCCTGAGAGCGGAACTCATCTGCTATCTCCTGGCAGCCTAGGAACAACAAGCCAGTGAACCAGTTAAATAATGACCTAATGTCAAAGACAAGCATGAACACTGTCTACATAAGACAATCCACTGAGGAATTAATCCCCCAGAGGGGAAATAAGCTTACTATCATCACAACATCATACCTACAGAAGAATATAGTTATGGTGTAGGCCTATCTAAATACTGTATTTATGAGACTGACCTGGAAGGGAGCGGATGAACTCGTATACTTCCTCCACATTCCACTTGGTGGGGTTGTTGGGCAGGAAGTGCTGAGTGAGGAGAGGCAACTCTCGACTCCGGGGGGCCTCCTGGTCCGAGCCTCTCCCTGCCATGTGTGACACCGCCTGGGGTGCTGGGGGCCCTGAGCTGGCTTCTGACAGGGGCGACGGAGGCTCCTCATAGCTGGACATGTCAGAGCAGGGGCTGGAGTCTTCCTGGCTGGGTTGGGAGGGAAGGGGGTAGGGCACTGAATCCCCCTGGGTCTGCTGAGGCATAGGGGACAGCTTCTGAAACACAAAAACCATGATAATCAGCTCTGGTGTCACTGAGGGGAGCATGTTCGTTCACAGGGGAGCTGTGATGTCAGTGGAGAAGTAGGAGGATCTTACCTGCTTCTTAGGCTCGATACTCTGGTGGCCGCTGTTGTGTGACCTGTGCCAGCGGTTGGATGTTTTGCTCCTTTCTGGATGGAAAAGGCCTATCCGCTTTCTGCAACCAACATTATACCTGTTCCACAAGGATAATAGTTATGGCCACTCCCATCCCTCGACAACACTACTGAGGAGCTCTGACCCTGAGGGATTTAACCCACTCAAAGCATCTAAACATTCTACATCTATCTGCATTGCTTTCGGTTTGGGGTTTTAGGCTGGGTTTCTGTATAAGCACTTTGTGACATCTGCTGATGTAAAAAGGGCTTTATGAATAGATTTGATTGATTAGAAATGGCCCACCAAATGTGAATTACCTTTTCGCACACACCATGGAACAAAACCGCTTTGACCCCTTGAATTTGTAGGCAAAGTCCACCCAGCCACAGAATTCACAGCTCAGTTTGGGGGAATCTGAATCCTCTTGGTCTTTTAATTCTGTGTGCAAATCAAAATAATTCCATTAAAGATCAACATCTCTTACATTGTTATGAAGCTGTAGCATTTAGAAAGTCCATCATTGGGTTGCTTGCCAAATAGGATGGCATCAATCACTCCATACATGACCTCCCTTACCTTGAGGGGTCAGCTCCTCTGTCTCCGAGTCTGTGGTGTTGGTGGGGTTACTAACAGGAGTCTTGTCAGGGTCAGAGGAGAGCTGCTCATGCAACTTCTTTGGGCTGTCCATCATCACAGGCAACCGCTCAATCTGGGGAAGACAAAGTGTGATGGCTTAATGGCAATCTTTCCAAGCTATGACAGCAATACAATGGCAAACTAACAATGCTGTGTCCATAAGCTATAATAAAGCCTGTGCAGCAAACATCCACTAGGAAACAAGGAGTTGTTAATTGATAAGCCAAATAGGCACAGTCACTCAAGTGTGTGTATATCAACATTTTACTCCCCACCTCAGAATGATAACACTGTTAATGGTGGTCTTAACATCTGTGTGCCTTCTTTCACAGACATCTCTGTATGGAACAACATTTGACTACAGTAGGCTATTAGAATTTATGACCAAGGTAAACAATAGTAAGGCATTGCCCTTTGTCATTGCTTAGCACAGAGAGTGTGGTTGCATGATTGTTTGTTGCTAATAGGAACATGCCCCTGTGGGAAACCACTCAAGATAGTGGCATGTTGTTTACTCCTAGCTGCTAAGGAGTAGCATGGGAGAAGGCACTTACAGGAAAGGGTTCAGCTCCCTCCTGGATGACAAAGCCCTCGATGACGTGGGTGAGGACCTGGGGCTTGACGATGGCCTGGGGTGGCTTGTTCTCCCCATTCTGTGGGATGCTGCCAGTCAAAGTTGGTGCCTCATTCTCAATTCCTGAGGTCATGGCTGGAGGCGCAGTCCCAGGTGCAGCATTCACCCTGTTGGTAGTAGTGACTCCTGCCAATGACATTTACATTTACATTTTAGTCATTTAGCAGACGCTCTTATCCAGAGCGACTTACAGTTAGTGATGGCATACATCTTTTTTTTCATACTGGCCCCCCGTGGGCATCGAACCATGCTGTACAAGGGGCCTGCTGCTTTAACGAAAAATTAAAGCAGTAGATAACTCATTGCATCATTCAATGATCTGGCCCACATGTGTACTCAATGTTTTAGAATTGATTCATTTCACTTAATAAATAAAATATTATTTCACAATGTGTACTACTATGGTCTACTCTAGTCATTCAAGTACTGAAGTAAATTTACATCATATATCGATCATCCACCTGCCAAATAATGTGCAACGGGCCCACTCCATTACCAAGCGTTTGTAATGCCACTCACTAGATGCGCATTAGTTGCTGATGTAAATTGATCACGATATCTAAATATTAAATGAAAAACGGCTGTCAAAAGTAATTAGATTCCAAAAAGGCGCACTCGTAATTGACAGATCGACCACTTGTTTGTAATTTCCAAAGCATAGATACAAGTATGGCTACCGTAATCGAGTAGTAGCCTACGCATGAAAACAGCAAACGCTTCCGAGGCTGTTTGCAACAATGTTACAAACCTTCAAAGTAATGATAAAGTTCAACAACTGTTCCATTTCAAAAGGGAAATAAGAATTGGCTCACCAAAATTCTTCCTGCCGCTTCATATGCGCTTTTATCCGATTCAATACACAAGCACGCGCTATCGCCTGCCTCTCTCTTTGAAAGCTATAGTTGACTAGAGTCAACTGTCCTACAAAGCACGCAATACAGAGCAGAGACGCTCGCTCGATCCAGCCCTGCACCAATGGTAAGAGGCGGGCAGCATAGAATAATGAAATACTTCAATAAGGTACCGCCCTCTCATTTTCCTTAATAGACATGTACTCTGCGTTTATACTCCACAGATGAAAATAAAAACACTTCACTCATGTTGACTGACACATTTCTGGCTCTTCTCATGTCCATAATCTCAGCCCTGCAAATGCACAGGGCTCAAGTCTATCTGAGCAACTATTGACATACAGGAACCACTCTTTAGTCTTTATACAAATGCAGGTCCAGTGACCCAACGTAGCATAAAATTCCACAATTGCAAAATAAACCTTAAATTATCTTTATAAGGTAACATACTACAGAATACTGCACCAAATATGGTTTAAGTAAGCACAATAAATACCAGGGACTCCATTAAAACCAGGAGCAGTTGGCTATTCTGCAACTTTGGGTTATGTTCAAACACTCAGCAGGCTCTGAATGTGTTGCAATCTGGTCCAAGCAAGAGCCAGAGGTCCTGCAGGCCTGCCTCTCTATTTTTAGACATCAAAGTTGACCCTTTCTGTTTATTTTGAATCTCAGTGGCAAGCGGAGCACCGCGACTATGCATTCACACCCAAGCACTGGTCATAAAAAAAGAGCCTTGTGGCTTTACATATTTCACTTTTATAAGAACAGTAACAATAAAAATGAAACCTCTTAATATGATCTGCATGTTCAGCATTTTGAATGAGCGAGAGTGTAAGACTACCATCATAAAACACATTTTCCATTTGAGTAAAAGTTTAAAGCACAATATTTTCCTGTCCATGACAAATTTGACTTCCCCTGACAGGAACACTGTTCACTGCTCCTCAATGGTTCCATTGGGGATAACCAGACAAGATTCCTCACCCTGACCAAATCCACAAGCACACAGCTGACAATAAAAAAAGTAAGACAACAGATCTGCCTCCCCACCTGGGGCATTATTTATCAACTGTGTGGAAATGTCTTACTAAATTCTGGCGTATGTGGAGATTCTAGGATTTGCGTGTGCAAAACATTATTGGGATTTATCAAACTGTCACACACACACACACAACATACAGTGGGGGAAAAAAGTATTTAGTCAGCCACCAATTGTGCAAGTTCTCCCACTTAAAAAGATGAGAGGCCTGTAATATTCATCATAGGTACATGTCAACTATGACAGACAAATTGAGAATTTTTTCCAGAAAATCACATTGTAGGATTTTTAATGAATTTATTTGCAAATTATGGTGGAAAATAAGTATTTGGTCAATAACAAAAGTTTCTCAATACTTTGTTATATACCCTTTGTTGGCAATGACACAGGTCAAACGTTTTCTGTAAGTCTTCACAAGGTTTTCACACACTGTTGCTGGTATTTTGGCCCATTCCTCCATGCAGATCTCCTCTAGAGCAGTGATGTTTTGGGGCTGTCGCTGGGCAACACAGACTTTCAACTCCCTCCAAAGATTTTCTATGGGGTTGAGATCTGGAGACTGGCTAGGCCACTCCAGGACCTTGAAATGCTTCTTACAAAGCCACTCCTTCGTTGCCCGGGCGGTGTGTTTGGGATCATTGTCATGCTGAAAGACCCAGCCACGTTTCATCTTCAATGCCCTTGCTGATGGAAGGAGGTTTTCACTCAAAATCTCACGATACATGGCCCCATTCATTCTTTCCTTTACACGGATCAGTCGTCCTGGTCACTTTGCAGAAAAACAGCCCCAAAGCATGATGTTTCCACCCTCATGCTTCACAGTAGGTATGGTGTTCTTTGGATGCAACTCAGCATTCTTTGTCCTCCAAACACGACGAGTTGAGTTTTTACCAAAAAGTTATATTTTGGTTTCATCTGACCATATGACATTCTCCCAATCCTCTTCTGGATCATCCAAATGCACTCTAGCAAACTTCAGACGGGCCTGGACATGTACTGGCTTAAGCAGGGGGACACGTCTGGCACTGCAGGATTTGAGTCCCTGGCAGCGTAGTGTGTTACTGATGGTAGGCTTTGTTACTTTGGTCCCAGCTCTCTGCAGGTCATTCACTAGGTCCCCCCGTGTGGTTCTGGGATTTTTGCTCACCGTTCTTGTGATCATTTTGACCCCACGGGGTGAGATCTTGCGTGGAGCCCCAGATCGAGGGAGATTATTAGTGGTCTTGTATGTCTTCCATTTCCTAATAATTGCTCCCACAGTTGATTTCTTCAAACCAAGCTGCTTACCTATTGCAGATTCAGTCTTGCCAGCCTGGTGCAGGTCTACAATTTTGTTTCTGGTGTCCTTTGACAGCTCTTTGGTCTTGGCCATAGTGGAGTTTGGAGTGTGACTGTTTGAGGTTGTGGACAGGTGTCTTTTATACTGATAACAAGTTCAAACAGGTGCCATTAATACAGGTAACGAGTGGAGGACAGAGGAGCCTCTTAAAGAAGAAGTTACAGGTCTGTGAGAGCCAGAAATCTTGCTTGTTTGTAGGTGACCAAATACTTATTTTCCACCATAATTTGCAAATAAATTCATTAAAAATCCTACAATGTGATTTTCTGGAAAAAATTCTCAATTTGTCTGTCATAGTTGACATGTACCTATGATGAATATTACAGGCCTCTCATCTTTTTAAGTGGGAGAACTTGCACAATTGGTGGCTGACTAAATACTTTTTCCCCCCACTGTATACACGAGCGCTACAACCCTGCCTGGAAAACTCCCTTCATTCACCTTTTATGGAAAAAAAAAATTCCCTAATTTGCTGTATAATTTGGAAATGTTGGAACTGGGCCATGTCAGTTTCTAAAAGAAAGTGCAAAGGCAAATTTGATCACATCTGTGGAGGTGTGGGCAAAATGTTTTAAATCTTTTGCAGTGACTTTTTCAAACAAGAAATGCCTGCCGCCTATACAGCGAGTCCCAAATAAACACTAGCCGCGCATCCCGCAAGATTGATTGTCTATTCGAACAATTTAAAAGTAGGCTGAATGCTACAGGCCACACTTCTATGCAAAAAAGACAAATTATGGTTCAATAGATTGTGTTTTTATCTCATGCCTTGTTATAGGCGCTGAGTTTCAATAGGCTATGATGTTGCACTCCTACCACACAGCAATACTGTAGCCTATCCATACTGTCAAATATTTTAAATAGGCTACCAGTCTATTTACTTTCGAGCATGCTTGGCTATTGAATGAGCGATGGATAAATGGTAGGCTAAGAATTGTTGTGTAGCAGGAATAAACCAGTCATGTCAGAAAATATGATTATGATTTAGGCATATAAACTCAGAAAAAAAAGAAACGTCCTCTCACTGTCAACTGCGTTTATTTTCAGCAAACTTAACATGTGTAAATATTTGTATGAACATAACAAGATTCAACAACTGAGACAAACTGAACAAGTTCCACAGACATGTGACTAACAGAAATTGAACAATGTGTCCCTGAACAAAGGGGGGGGGGGGGGGGGGGGGGGGGGGGGGTTCAAAATCAAAAGGAACAGTCAGTATCTGGTGTGGCCACCAGCTGCATTAAGTACTGCAGTGCATGTCCTCCTCATGGACTGCACCAGATTTGCCAGTTCTTGCTGTGAGATGTTACCCCACTCTACCACCAAGGCACCTGCAAGTTCCCAGACATTTCTGGGAGGAATGGCCCTAGCCCTCACCCTCCGATCCAACAGGTCCCAGACGTGCTCAATGGGCTTGAGATACGGGCTCTTCGCTGGCCATGGTAGAACACTGACATTGCGGTCTTGCAGGAAATCACGCACAGAATGAGCAGTATGGCTGGTGGCATTGTCATGCTGGAGGGTCATGTCAGGATGAGCCTGCAGGAAGGGTACCACATGAGGGAGGAGGATGTCTTCCCTGTAACGCACAGCGTTGAGATTGCCTGCAATGACAACAAGCTCAATCCGATGATGCTGTGACACACCGCCCCAGACCATGACGGACCCTCCACCTCCAAATCGATCCCGCTCCAGAGTATAGGCCTCGGTGTAACGCTCATTCCTTCGACGATAAACGCAAATCCGACCATCACCCCTGCTGAGACAAAACCGCGACTCGTCAGTGAAGAGCACTTTTTGCCAGTCCTGTCTGGTCCAGCGACGGTGGGTTTGTGCCCATAGGCGACGTTGTTGCCGGTGATGTCTGGTGAGGACCTGCCTTACAACAGGCCTACAAGCCCTCAGTCCAGCCTCTCTCAGCCTATTGCGGACAGTCTGAGCACTGATGGAGGGATTGTGCGTTCCTGGTGTAACTCGGGCAGTTGTTGTTGCCTTCCTGTACCTGTCCCGCAGATGTGATGTTCGGATGTACCGATCCTGTGCAGGTGTTGTTACACGTGGTCTGCCACGGCGAGGATGATCAGCTGTCCGTCCTGTCTCCCTGTAGCGCTGTCTTAGGTGTCTCACAGTACGGACATTGCAATTTATTGCCCTGGCCACATCTGCAGTCCTCATGCCTCCTTGCAGCATGCCTAAGGCACGTTCGTGCAGATGAGCAGGGACCCTGGGCATCTTTCCTTTGGTGTTTTTCAGAGTCAGTAGAAAGGCCTCTTTAGTGTCCTAAGTTTTCATAACTGTGACCTTAATTGCCTACCGTCTGTAAGCTGTTAGTGTCTTAACGACCGTTCCACAGGTGCATGTTCATTAATTGTTTATGGTTAATTGAACAAGCATGGGAAACAGTGTTTAAACCCTTTACAATGAAGATCTGTGAAGTTATTTGGATTTTTACGAATTATCTTTGAAAGACAGGGTCCTGAAAAAGGGACGTTTCTTTTTTTGCTGTTTACAATTAAAGTCAAAGAAACATATTAGGCTGTATGCTGCTATGTGATCTCCTTACCAACAGCAAATGCATCGGTTTTATCATTACGTTTTAAATGTTTTTATTAGCCCACCATTATTATAATTCCTGTGCATCAAACTCAAATTTTCCCCAGAATAACAATATTTGCTTGCAATATAATTGATCAACCACTAGAAGTTGTGCGTATGCATGGTCTGACCTGTACGTGATGCACACACTTTCTTTTCAAGTTCAAAATGGATAAATACCAACCTTTGCGGGAAAACTGGCGCACGCAAGGTTTAGAGTCTTTTTTGTGTACACGCACCTTTGATAAACGAGGCCCCTGGAGAGCAGAACAGAACAGAACAAGGCAGAGCGGCTTATCTTTGATCTGGTTTTCCAAAGTTGTAATTGGTTGTAAATATGATATGACAACAATAGACCCCCAGTTACAGTCCTGCCTCTAGGCAATATAACTAAGAGAAGGGGTGATAAAAGCTTGTTAAGATGAATAATTAAAACCAAATATCCTGCTACCTTGTGGTTGGCTGATGGGTGTGACTGGATCAGTCTTGGGCTGCGCTGTTGGCTTGGTGGCTTGTGGTGGAGACGGGTTAGATGGGGTAGACTGCTGCTGTACACTGGGAGTCGGGCAGCGCTCTCTGACCACCGATGACGTGGGCTTGTCCTGTCCTTTACTGTCCTGGACTAATCGAGAAGCCTGGGAGTCCATAATAGAATATAGGGAAGAGGGAGAGAGAGTTAGTGAAACATAATATTTGACTAATGACTAGAGATTATTGATATATTTTAGGTTTACTGACACATTGTACATTGTTACAGAGTAATCCTCTCCCATTTCCATACTTCTGTTTGTGACTGCTGTGTACTCACCTGTGAGGGCGCTGGTTGTATCTGGAGGTTAATGGCTGTGAGTTGTACTGGCTGGGCTTTGGCTTGGCTCAGGGTGGAGTGGAGAGCATGTGGGCTGATGGTGGAGTGAAAGATGGTTGCCTGCTGGCTGGGTGTAGAGGGCTGGTGGTGAGAGGCGGGCTTGGGCAGCACAGGGATAGGGCCTGGCTGGCTAGGGGAATGGGGGACCAGGGAGGGAGTCTGCAGGTGGGGCTGGATGGAGGCAGTCTGCAGTAGCTGGCCCTGGGTCCTCTGGGAAGCCTGGGTCTGCTGGATCACAAACTGCTGCTGCTTGTGCTGCTGGACCAGGGAATGGGGCTGGATCTGGGTGTATGCTGGAACAAGAATTGAGAATTAGGATACATAAAATATCTGATAGTTAAGTCAGTAAATGCACACAAAAGGAAAAATCGACTCTACCCTCACAAAAATAAAAATAAAGTGCTCTTCTTTGCCAGTACGCCTATTGTTGACGAAATACCTTTTTGAAAAGCACACGACAGACTTGCCCTAAACCCTTGTCAAGCTTTTGACCAGCCATTACTTACTAATGTCTCCAAAGGGTCTGTCATCACCTGACAGGGCTTCTGCTGACAAAATGACAACCTGAGGACTTAACTTCCCAGAACCCAGGGACACAACTCATCAATCATGTATTGTACTGTCGTTTAGTGAAAAGGGCTCTACACAGCAACAGACAGAGTAGCCCTGGGCCAGACATATGCAGGAGGAAAGCCAGAGGGAAATAAGAAGAAGCCAATGCTCCATGACATGCTGTATGTAGTCATCTGTGAGTCAATCCCCAAAGCCTTCAGTTGCCCAAACAACTCTCCCAAGGAAACAATGAGGTTGGATCTGGCCCTCATCATTACTGAAATATAGAGAAAGGGTTCTCATGAATCATCTCTCCTAGGAGCTATTAACCGGTTTGTCTCAGGAGTAAGCCCTGGGGTCTTACAGTAGCTTCCCAATAGCTCAGATTATCTTAGTAAACTAACAGTGTCTGAGGTGTCTAACATTTACCTTTGTGGATCTCTTTTGATTATGAAGGATTGATGCCAAAGATATTAGGGTTCCTCCCTAGCCCCCCTTTTTAGTATATTTTGTGTGGGATAGGCTCCATCTGGTATGAATGTTCCTCTGTTTCGCAGTAACCACAGTCTCTACCCTGCTGTGAAAATAGAGACGTTTCCATCCGGCAGAGTTTCATGTCATTAGTCATTTATACCACAGGATCTTCTGGAAAGTGTTTGATTTTCACGTGGCAAAACTCTATGAAACCCACAGCATGTGGTTAGCTATGGTTTCACTAAGTACAGGGTGAAGACCGACACATCTCTCAGAAAGTAGCACTATAAAAGCCTTGGACGGATACTCTCAATTACATGATAACACAGTAAAGGCCTACCTACCACCCAGCCCTCACTAAGGTTAAATGGAAAACAGAGGCTGTATAATAACGGCTATCAATTCAGCAGATAGGCCTAGCACTTGTATGAACAGATGAGTGGATTTCCGAACGACTGCACACCGGATACAAGAAACAACACTCAAAGTCCTGCTCGACAGCTTTCTCAAGCACTGTAATGAGTAACAGAGAAAGGTCTTGGACGGAGAGGAAGGGGGATTCATTTAAATGCTTTTTGTCCCTCAAGGCCTTGGGTTTAAGGCCTCGCCCCATGGCCCTAATAAGGTACCCTCCCCCATACCTGTGTGTTGTTTCAGAATGTCTAGAGGAAAGGACACGTGCACATTCCCTATGGGATTTCAATAGCAGACCCTGGAAAATCCCTGAGTTTCTACAATCTACTACTACTGCTGCTTTAGATTAGAAACCTCACCCACACGTCGCTGTAAATCACTTCATACATATCTTAACAGGTACACTGCATTCGGAAAGTATTCAGACCCCTTCCCCTTTTGCACATTATTACGTTACAGCCTTATTCTAAAATTGATTAATTATTTCTTTCCTCAATCGACACAATACCCCATAATGACAAAGCGAAAACAGGTTTAGACATTTTTGCAAATGTATTAAAAATAAACAACAGAAATACCTTATTTACATAAGTATTCAGACCCTTTGCTATGAGACTCGAAATTGAGCTCAGGTGCATCCTGTTTCCATTGATCATCCTTGAGATGTTTCTACAACTTGGAGTCCACCTGTGGTAAATTCAATTGATTGGACATGATTTGGAAAGGCACACACCTGTCTATATAAATGGTCCCACAGTTGACAGTGCATGTCAGAGCAAAAACCAAGCCATGAGGTTGAAGGAAATGTCCATAGAGCTAAGAGACTAAACAAAAAATGTCTGCACCATTGAAGGTCCAAGAACACAGTGGCCTCCATCATTCTTAAATGGAAGAAGTTTGGAACCACCAAGAATCTTCCTAGAGCTGGCCGCCTGGACAAACTGAGCAATCGGGCGAGAAGGGCCTTGGTCAGGAAGGTGACCAAGAATGCGATGGTCACTGACAGAGCTCCAGAGTTCCTCTGTGGAGATGAGAGAACCTTCCAGAAGGACAACCATCTCTGCAGCACTCCACCAATCAGGCCCTTTATGGTAGAGTGGCCAGACGGAAGCCACTCTTCAGTAAAAGGCACAACAGCCCGCTTGGAGTTTGCCAAAAGGCACCTAAAGGACTCTCAGACCATGAGAAACAAGATTCTCTGGTGTGATGAAACCAAGATTCAACTCTTTGGCCTGAATGCCAAGCGCCACATCTGGAGGAAACCTGGCACCATCCCTACGGTGAAGCATGGTGGTGGCAGCATCATGCTGTGGGAATGTTTTTCAGCGGCAGGGACTGGGAGACAGGTCAGGATTGAGGGAAAGATGAACAGAGCAAATTACAGAGAGATCCTTGATGAAAACCTGCTCCAGAGCGCTCAGGACCTCAGACTGGGGTGAAGGTTCACCTTCCAACAGGACAATGACCCCAAGCAAACGCCAAGACAATGCAGGAGTGGCTTCGGGACAAGTCTCAATGTCCTTGAGAGGCCCAGCCAGAGCCCGGACTTGAACCTGATCGAACATCTCTGGAGAGACCTGAAAATAGCTGTGCAGAGATGCTTCCCATCCAACCTGACAGAGCTTGAGAGGATATGCAGAGAACAATGGGAGAAACTCCCCAAATACAGGTGTGCCAAGCTTGTAGCGTCATACCCAAGAAGACTCAAGGCTGTAATTGCTGCCAAAGGTGCTTCAACAAAGTACTGAGTAAAGGATCTGAATACTTATGTAAATGTTACATTTCAGATTTTTATTTGTAATACATTTGCAAAAATGTCTAGAAACCTGTTTTTGCTTTGTCATGAGGTATTATTGTGTGTAGATTGTTTCTTTTCCTAATTTAAACTAATTTAATCAATTTTAGAATAAGGCTGTAATGTGAAAAAATGTAAGGAGTCTGAAGACTTTCAATGGATGATCAATGGAAACAGGATGCACCTGAGCTCAATTTTGAGTCTCATAGCAAAGGGTCTACATTTTTTTCTTCATTTTTTTTTTCTTCTAAAAACCAGTTTTTGCTTTGTCATTATGGGGTATTGTGTGTAGATTGATGAGGGGAAAAAATAATTTAATCAATTTTAGAATAAGGCTGTAACGTAACAAAATGTGAAGGGGTCTGAATACTTCCCGAATGCATGTGCATATTATGTGTGAGTGAGAAAATGGAGTGAGTGAGTGTGTTGGGCCCAGTGAGTGTGTCTATGCAAAGATTGAAATAAAAGGTCAATAAAGATATAAGGTTAACTCAGATAGTCTGTGTAGCTATTTTGTTAGCTATTCATCAACTGTATTGCTTGGGGATAGAAGCTGTTCAAGAGCCTGTTGGTATAAGACTTGATGCACCAGTACCTCTTGCTGTGCTGCAGCAGAGAACCTAGTCTATGGCTTGGATGGTTGGAGTCTTTGATGATTTTCAGGGCCTTCTTTTCACACCGCCTGATATAGAGGTCCTAGATGGCAGGGAGCTCGGCCCCAGTGATGTACTGGGCTGTCCGCACAACCCTCTGTAGCGCCATGCGATTGAGGGCGGTGCTATTGCCATACCAAGCAGTGCTGTCAATATGGTCTCAGTGGTACAGCTGTAGAACCTTTTGAGGATTTGAGGGCCCATGCCAAACTTTTTCAACCTCCTGAGGGGCAAGAGGCACTGTGCGTGTGTGTTTGGACCATTTTAAGTCTTTAGTGATTTGGACACTGAGGAACTTGAAGCTCTCGACCTGCTCCACTGCTGCCCAGTCAATGTGGATGGGGGCGCATTGTCCTATATTGTCCTTTTGATGACTTTGGAGGTCATAGCGGGACTTCTTGTACTTATTTTGGCTACCATGGTTTGGCTACCATGGTTAGAAGAAGAGATCTCCGTGACTTTGAAAGAGGGGTGTCAAAGGAGCATACAGGGTTTAAAGGGTGTGTGTATGTGTCTCAGTCACCAGATCTCAACCCAATTGAACACTTATGGGAGATTCTGGAGTGGCGCCTCAGATACCGTTTTTCCACCACCATCAACAAAAACACCAAATGATGGAATTTCTCAGAAGAATGGTGTCGCATCCCCCTCCAATAGAGTTCCAGACACTTGTAGAATCTATGCCAAGGTGCATTGAAGCTGTCGGCTCGTCGTGGCCCAACACCCTATTGAGACACTGTTGGTGTTTCCTTTATTTTGGCAATTACATGTAGCTTGAGAAGAAAACCTACGTCAAACATATCAATACTATGTGTGTTTTAAGTACTTGCAATGGAGCTACTATGTATGTGCACATGGAAGCATACAATGGCTTGATTAAGTAACAGAATGGGGAGATACTTTTAGGCTTACGAAACTGGACGCCATGTTTGGAAAAATATTAGACAAAACAAAACAGAAAACCACTGTGCAGTTAGCAGGGGCATAGAAGGAGACTGTTAGTCTGCAAGGTGGTCTTTGTGGGCTTTGGTGCTGTTCTGAGGGTTTAGTAGTAGGGTGCTTGGAGAGCTTGTCTGTCAAGGAGGAGGTGATGAAAAGACTAAAAGTACACAATGAACTCAACTGCAGAACAGCTGCTTCCAGCCGATCCCCATTCAAGGAAAAAAATCAGCCCGTCTGTGGTTGGAGAAGCAGACACACGGCTGCTCCCACAAGATCTGCTCTCTACTTGTCTCGGAGGCTCAATTACTACACAGTACTAAAATAGACGACAACAATTAACTAGGCCTATTCCTGTGGCAGTGTTCTCTCATATGTCGAAAATAAAACTACATGAGACATTTGTTATGTAGCCTATTATTATTATTGAGGTGTTGATTGGAATTGTTTTATTCAAGTATTTCCTTCTTCAAAATTACAACATTCTGTTGCCTGACAGAGTAGAGTCCTGTAAGGAATCAACGTGCATAATGAATGACCCAGTGGATGACAGTGCACATAGAATCAGTGGAAGCCCCTTTCCAACCATAAACCCAGTCAGCCACCACAGCTGCTACTCCATCTCCCGCTAGTGTAATCCACTGAACTGACAGAGTGCTTCGCACATGTCCAGGGCACACCTGTCTGTCCCCCATCGCCACTACCGTGGCAACCAATGTACATTTTATGAGTTTAGGTAAGGTTTTCAGATTTATCCTCCCATTCATTTAATCTAAATCCATTACTTAAACAAAGTGAGACAGACACAGTTGTGCAGTCGCATGCTCAGCTAATCCATCCAGTCTGGCACAACACACAACCCATGCAGTGCTTAGCACACACACGCACTCTCACACACAGTCAGAGTTGGTCTGTTCAACTGCTGGCATAGATGAAGCCATTCTCTGTGACAAAACCATCCAGCTGCTGATCACACAATAAGTGGTCTAGAAAAACTCATCTGTGGCACAGAGCCCTCCATGGTTTCATATAGAAAAATCAGCTTGACTATTCTAGATGCAGAGCCCATGTTCTCCCCTGTAGTAGTGAATACAGTGGTTTAAAAAAGGAGAAAAATCCAATGACTGAAACTTAAGTCGATCTCAGATCGATTGTCTGCGGGGCCAAGTTAACCTCCCATTTCATGTAAAAAAAAAGTAATGACCATCATGCTTGTAGGGAAAGAGGTTAATTTTGAAGTTCCAGTACAATTTATTTTTATTTTTTATCTATATGACAGAAATCCATCGCAGTGACTGAGAACTCAACCCCTGCATACAGTAGAGAAAGCTATCAAAACAACAAGTAGATTTTTACAGCTCTCTATTCTTAGTTTACTGTAAACATAGGGGCACGTTTCCAAAAGCAGCAAACTCAGGAAGTAGCAACACTGGTAACATGATTTGACTGGTTGAAATGTAACCTAACATAACAGGTGTAAAAGAAGCGACTGAGTGGGGGCCCCCTATCCGGTTCAGGGGAAAAGGAAGCTAGGTTGAAGATACTACACTACCGGTCAAACATTTTAGAACACCAACTCATTCAAGGGTTTTTCTTTATTTTTACCATTTTCTACATTGTAGAACAATAGTGAAGACATCAAAACTATTAAATGACACATATGGAATCATGTAGTAACCAAAAAAAGTGTTAAACAAATCAAAATATATTTTAGAGATTCTTCAAATAGCCACCCTTAGTCTTGATGACATCTTTTCACACTTTTGGCATTCTCTCAACCAGCTTCACCTGGAATGCTTTTTCAACAGTCTTGAAGGAGTTCCCACATATGCTGTGCACTTGTTGGCTGCTTTTCCTTCACTATATGGTCCAACTCATCCCAAACCATCTCAATTTGGTTGAGGTCGGGGGATTGTGGGAGGCCAGGTCATCTGATGCAGCACTCCATCACTCTCCTTCTTGGTCAAATAGCCCTTACACAGCCTGGAGGTGTGTTGGGTCATTGTCCTGTTGAAAAACAAATGATAGTCCCACTAAGCCCAAACCAGATGGGATGGCATATCGCTGCAGAATGCTGTGGTAGCCATGCTGGTTAAGTGTGCCTTGAATTCTAAATAAATCACAGACAGTGTCACCAGCAAAGCACCCCCACACCATAACACCTCCTCCATGCTTTAAGATGGGAACTTCACATGCGGAGATCATCCGTTTACCCACACCGCGTTTCACAAAGACACGGCAGTTAGAACAAAACATCTCCAATTTGGACTCCAGACCAAAGGACACATTTCCACTGGTCTAATGTCCATTGCTCATGTTTCTTGAGCAAGTCTTCTTCTTATTGGTGTCCTTTAGTAGTGGTTTCTTTGCAGCAATTCAACCATGGAGGCCTGATTCACACAGTCTCCTCTGAACAGTTGATGTTGAGATGTGTCTGTTACTTGAACTCTGTGAAGCATTTATTTGGGCTGCAATTTCTGAGGCTGGTAACTCTAATGAACTTATCCTCTGCAGCAGAGGTAACTCTGGGTCTTCCATTCCTGTGGCGGTCCTCATGAAAGCCAGTTTCATCATAGCGCTTGATGGTTTTTGCGACTGCACTTGAAGAAACTTTCAAAGTTCTTGAAATGTTCCGCATTGACTGACCTTCATGTCTTAAAGTAATGATGGACTGTCGTTTCTCTTTGCTTATTTGAGCTGTTCTTGCCATAATATGGACTTGGTCTTTTACCAAATAGGGCTATCTTCTGTATAACCCCCCCTACCTTGTCACAACACAACTGATTGGCTCAAATGCATTAAGAAGGAAAGAAATCCCACAAATTAACTTTTAACAAGGCACACCTGTTAATTGAAATGCATTCCAGGTGACTATCTCATGAAGCTGGTTGAGAGAATGCCAAGAGTGTGCAAAGCTGTAATCAAAGCAAAGAGTGGCTATTTGAAGAATCTCATTTGTTTAACACTTTTTTGGTTACTACATGATTCCATATGTGTTATTTCATAGTTTTGTTGTCTTCACTATTATTCTACAATGTAGAAAATAGTAAAAATAAAGAAAAACCCTTGAATGAGTAGGTGTTCTAAAACTTTTGACCGGTAGTGTATATCCCTGAAAACCAGATGTTTCCGATTTCTTCCAACCCGCTGAGGGTGGTTGAAATGTAGTTGTGTTCCAGAAGAGGCATGAGGAATGCCCTGTTTGTCAGGCTACTGGAGGCATGATTTATGTTCCAGACTAAATTACTCAAAAGTCACAGGGGCAGAATATTCAGTGTCATCTAGAGTGCAGCAAAACCCATGCCTTCTCACAATAGCCAGTACTGAATCGAATACTCTCCATCATTTGAGCATACATGCCTACATTGTCCAAGGGTGCAATGGTGTCAACTTCATGAAATCCTAATATAGGAGTCTAGCCTGTGTGTAGAAGCTAGCTAACGTTAGGGTTGGATACATACCTGGAGTGATGAGAGGCTGTCCACTCACAGCTGTGACGCTGCGACTCATGTTTATAGCGCGCACCTCCGTCACTATGCTCTCCCCCTTCTTGCTCCCGTCCAAGAGACCGTCGGGCCAACTGCCCTTCCCCCCAGCGCCCTGGCTCCCCTGGCTGGGGTTCTTGATCAGAGGAGAGGGCTGGATGGAGACAGGGCTCTGCTTTAGGCTGAGGGCCTGCAGGCTGTGTGTCTGAAAGGAGGACGTGGTTGCCCCCTGCTGGCTACGGATAGCCAGGTTCTGGACCTGAAAAGACACAGAGGTCAGGTCCCGGAGGCAATGAGACATGGCCTGGGGCAGGAGAGGTGGGGAGCACCACAGTCAAGGGTCCACCCACAGGCCATCACCAGAATTAGTGAAATACATTTTAGATTAAATTAGGTATCACAGCAATGGCATATTATTATTATTATTATTATTATTATTATTATTATTATTATTAGCTACAGCTAGGGTTTAAAGCAACAACAAAAAATCCATGACTGAAACTTAAGTCGATGTCAGATCAACGGGCAAACTATTTGGCTCGAGGGCCACATCTAGATTTCAAAATTCAACGGAGGGCCACACAGATTTTATTATGACCGATTTGTTTGTCAAAAAAGATTTGCGTGCCAGAAAAATGTGATTCGGAAATATTGAGTTCCATTATTGTTTCTACATACTTTCTATCTAGTTTTAGAGTGTGGCCTGGAGTGTTTTTTTTTTGTACCCAAAATAATAACCCCCCCCCTCCCAAAACAAAAAACTCATGCATCATCCATATGATGGAAGTCTGTCGCAGTGATGGATAACTAACCCTTGGCTATACCCCCAATGTCTGAATTATGGTTACTTGTGTTGATCTTCTATGCCCTCTAGTGCAGTTCCAGGTTACTACAGCAGCTCTGTGTGTATGGCGTTAGCCTTTATAGTTGAGATAATAATAGTGTACCTGTGAGGAGGCGTGCTGTTGTCCAGAGGACTGCGTGGAGGTCTCAGACTGGACTGCAGCCACTGTGGCCGTAGGCGTGAAGATGAGCTGGGAGGACAACGGAACAGCACGGCCTAAGCTCCTAGCTACTTCCACAAGGTTACTTTGCTGTGCCTGAAAATCACACACCAACATACACTACCAGTCAAAGGTTTGGACACTCATTTAAGGGTTTTTCTTTATTTTTACATTGTAGAATAATAGTGAAAACATCAAAACTATGAAATAACACATATGGAATCATGTAGTAACCAAAAAAAGTGTTAAACAAATCAAAATATATGTTATACTTGAGATTCTTCAAATAGCCACCCTTTGCCTTGATGACAGCTTTGCACACTCTTGGCATTCTCTCAACCAGCTTCATGAGGTAGTCACCTGGAACGCATTTCAATTAACAGGTGTGCCTTCTTAAAAGTTAATTTGTGGAATTTATTTCCTTCTTAATGTGTTTGAGCCAATCAGTTGTGTTGTGACAAGGTAGGGGGGGTATACAGAAGATAGCCCTATTTGGTAAAAGACCAAGTCCATATTATGGCAAAAACAGCTCAAATAAGCAAAGAGAAACGACAGTCCATCATTACTTTAAGACATGAAGGTCAGTCAATGCGGAACATTTCAAGAACTTTGAAAGTTTCTTCAAGTGCAGTCGCAAAAACCATCAAGCGCTATGATGAAACTGGCTCTCACGAGGACCGCCACTGCAGAGGATAAGTTCATTAGACGCTTCACAGAGCTCAAGTAACAGACACATCTCAACATCAACTGTTCAGAGGGGACTGTGTGAATCAGGCCTTCATGGTCAAATTGCTGCAAAGAAACCACTACTAAAGGACACCAATAAGTAGAAGAGACCTGCTTGGGCCAAGAAACATGAGCAATGGACATTAGACCGGTGGAAAAGTGTAGTTTGGTCTGGAGTCCAAATAGGAGATTTTTGGTTTCAACCACCGTGTCTTTGTGAAACGCGGCGTGGGTGAACGGATGATCTCCGTATGTGAAGTTCCCACCATAAAGCATGGAGGAGGTGTTATGGTGTGGGGGTGCTTTGCTGGTGACACTGTCTGTGATTTATTTAGAATTCAAGGCACACTTAACCAGCATGGCTACCACAGCATTCTGCAGCGATACGCCATCCCATCTGGTTTGGGCTTAGTGGGACTATCATTTGTTTTTCAACAGGGCAATGACCCAACACACCTCCAGGCTGTGTAAGGGCTATTTGACCAAGAAGGAGAGTGATTGGAGTGAGGCATCAGATGACCTGGCCTCCACAATCCCCCGACCTCAACCCAATTGAGATGGTTTGGGATGAGTCGAATGGCAGAGTGAAGGAAAAGCAGCCAACAAGTGCTCAGCATATGTGGGAACTCCTTCAAGATTGTTGGAAAAGCATTCCAGGTGAAGCTGGTTGAGAGAATGCCAAGAGTGTGCAAAGCTGTCATCAAGGTGGCTATTTGAAGAATCTCAAATATAAAATATATTTTGATTTGTTTAACACTTTTTTGGTTACTACATGATTCCATATGTGTTATTTCATAGTTTTGATGTCTTCACTATTATTCTACAATGTAGAAAATAGTAAAAATAAAGAAACACCCTTGAATGAGTAGGTGTCCAAACTTTTGACTGATACTGTATATGTAAATAATTCCTCCATGGTTTTGGGTAGAGACAAATTATACTGTAAACACCTGATCTTTCTCTGTCGCTTTCTTTCAATCTCTCACGCTCACTCTTACCATGCATAGTGTGTCAAAAAATCTTCAAGGGAAAAAAATGTCATCTAATCAGACTGAACTGATTCAGTTTGAGATGCAGGACAACACATCTTTCACACTCCTTCCAGCAGGCTGACACACAGTGGAGACACAAACAGCACACAAACACTTCAGTGTTGGGGAAGCTACTCTGAAAATATAGTTTATTAAGTAACCAATTACTTCATATTGGAAGAAGGTAAGCGACACTAAAGCTACCCTTAAGATAAATAAGTGTACTTAACTAAAGTTACTTTGAAAAAGTAGTTCACTACATCCAAACTACTTCATGATATATTATCTAAATATGAAATGTCAGACAACAAATTGCAAGAACAGATCACTCTGGAGCAGTGGAGGCTGCTGGGGGGGGGGGGGGGGGGGGGCAGCTCATAATAATGGCTGGAATAGAGCTAATGGAATGGCATCAAACCATGTGTTTGATGTTTTTATACCATTCCACTGATTCCACTCCAGACATTACCACGAGCCCGTCCTTACAAATTAAGGTGCCGCCAACCTATTAAACTCAAAAACTGTTTCAAGTGAGAATTAGGCAGGTCTGATGTTGAAACAATGGAAATCCTTGCCTACTTCACCCGTATTTTGTGTAGCAGTGTGTAGTTTCAGTAGTTAGCTACACCGCAAAAAAAAATGTATTAACTACTGAAAACACTACCAAGATTTGAATTTAGTTCAACTACCACCAGGCTCCTGCAAAATGTAGTTCACTACTCCCAAACACTGCACTTCATCACACTAAGCCTCCAGAAGTGTGGCTGAGCTAGCTAGTATGTGTGCCAGTGGGCATGCTTCTGGGGGCTTACCATCTGGGCACGTAGGTACATATGAGCCTGACTGGCAGTGAGAGTGGTGGGGCTGGATGGGCTTCCCAGGATTACGGCCTGCTGGGAGATGCTGCCGGCAGGTGCGGAGCTGACACTCTGGGCTCGGCTGATCAGCTGGGCTGCAGCCGGGGACGTGGTCAGGTTAATCTGGGGATAGGACAGAGAAGACAGGGAGGATTACAAAACATCAACAAAAACACTACACATCTTAGAACCCAACCCCTTAGTAACTAGACATGACTCACTGCACTCACTGTGGTCTGGGATGATCCTGTGTGCTGGGACGAAGTGCCATTTTGGGTGGAGCTCTGCCTTCCTGCCGCAATACTGGCCTGTGACATGACAGGTGCGAACCATTAGGGGAGTATGTAGGGGTCAACACTTAAATTCCTCTTCATCTGAAGATAACTGTTCGATTCACCAACCAAACTTTCAGAACCCTAACCACAACACTGGCCTTATCGCTCATCTTTGTCAAAACCCTAACACTAGCCCCCAGCCTTGTTGGAGGCCCGTTTCATTTCCCAGTTTAACAGTTCCTTGCGTCTCCCGTGCTCACCTGCTGTACGGCAGCCAGGCTCTGGAGCTGTGCATTGCTCAGGTGCTGCTGCTGCTGGAGGGCTGCTGTCTGCAGCATGAGGTGCTGCTGCTGCGCTGCGTACATCTGCTGCAGGTACTGCGCAGCCGTGTTGGGCTGCCGGTGCAACGCCTGCTGGATCACCTACAGTACACAGGGAGAAAAAGACAGGTTAGCGGTTGGGGTAATATTCTCAACAACAGGCTTTAAAAAGGACTTACATGGTTGGAGTAATACTTGGAAAAAATAAGTTCTTATTTGCATTGTTTTTACCGAACCATTAAAAAGCAGGTAGGGAGATTCCTTGGGTGGGAATGTGCTCCTCTTGTTAGGGAGAGTAGGCACATTGTAATGGACATGATCTTATCCTATACCAAGTCCTTCGGTCCCTGTGCACATCCTTTATTCAATCTTCATGACTCAAATTGACTGAAAACCTCAGCACAGTTGCTAAGGCAACAGGAGAGAGGGATTGACACGGGGCACATGGCCTAATAGAGGTCATCTGACCTAAGCCTCCAGGGGGCAAAGAGGGCAGTGATTGTGATGGAAACATCCATTCACTTCTCTCTTATTGAGCACAAAGGGCCAGGAGTCCACTATGTTGAGTAGGCAAGTAGTGACAATGTTGCTAGTTCTCTTGCTAAGGGCAGATGAGAGAAAGGGTAAAGGATAGAAGAGGCCTAGGACCTGTCTGTCACCCTTCAAAACTCAGAGTCAAATTCAGGCTGGGTTTCACATCGGTCAAGGGTCAAATAGCAGAGGACAGAGCCTGGAACTTGGAACCATAGCAACCCTCATCAGCTGTCATTAGTATTGACAGATTGCATGATGCCAGTGTACTACATCAAATAAACAATGATAAAACTATAAAATTGCACTTTTGTCTAAATGTAATAATAGTCTCATTTATTATAAGCGTTGCAGTAAATTCCGTAGTGAGCTAAGTGCAATTGTGGGCGGTTTACGGTACATGCATGTTTTACCAGCAGATGGCAGTAGGGTAATGACAATAATTGTATTATTGCAGGGAATGCAATGGGCAAAACAGTTCATGCAAAACATTTGAATGTGTGTGTCACACTGGACTGGCATGTTTTTTTTTACCCTGAAGTTTACCTGAACCGTCTGCCTGTCAGGAATCCCGCTGTACACAGAGATCTGAGGCACAGCCTGCCTCCCTGCACTGCTGCTGCTGGTGGTACTTGTGCTGGAGGCAGTGGTCCCAGTGCTGCTGGCACTGGAGGCTGGAGGCCCCTGTTCACTGTCCATGGTGCCCTCTCCTCGTTTGGCCCTTCCCCTGCTGCCCTTTGGACAAGCTCTCCTGAACCTACAAGACAGGAAACAGGGGTGTTACAATGAAGGTCACAGACTTATTGGGCCATGTCCAACCATGTCATGTGCAGTCAATGTGTTGGCCTGTTCAGTGTAACTTTATAAAGCAACCCTAAAGCCTATAAGCCTGTATAAGAATGACATGACTTTCCTAAGGTGATGCAAAATGTTGCATGTATACATACTGTACTTGTCTCATTTCAGCACCTGTGCTAACATGGGACACATAATTGAGGGCTACACAAGCATAGACATGTATCATACAGATTGTAGCGATCCTCGCTATATGAGCCACATTGCAATGTCCACCAAGTGGGTTAACCCTATTTGCACGATGCGTAGGGTGAACAGGAATTCTCAAATGTGTTTCCAGTAAATATGTTGGCCTATTCATATTTTCCAATACACATACAATAATACTTTTATATTAGGCCAAATGGTCTTCCCCAATGATGACACGCCAATCAATAATATTGCGCACCTCTGCAAGAACGGCGTTTGGCAGAGCGTTGGAAAACAGATCAGTAGAAACGGGAAGTAACAACCATGAGTGTGACAGTCTCCGAGTATGAAATATTTGTTAGGAAGAGTTTAACAACGGCGAAATGCTAATAATACTTAGATGTGAACATATTTTCCAATGAATGTAGTTTGGTAACAGCCATGTGTTTTCTACTGAATTGTAGTGAGCCAGAAATGTGTAAACTATAAATGCTGATAAACGCTAAAACTGAAAAATTCCATGGATTATGATTTGCGCCATGAAAGACGTCAGTTTCGAGAAGGGTGTTGGTTTCCTCCTTAACTCGATTTAAAATCACTTGTTGGTGGAAAGAAACTGGGAAAATACTGTAGGGCTGACCCCATTTAGTTGACTGGTCGATTGTTTGGTTGATAGGCTGTCGGTCAACCGACATAATTTTTTTAGTTGAGCAGTTGAAAAAAAAATACAATAATAATTATGGCACGTCTTGCTGTCTCAGTGGACTAATCCATTGCGGTGGCCGTGGGGATGGCGCACTAGTACATTTACCGTTAAATCCCATAATTTCTAATCTACAATGTTTGTTTGGTTACCATAATTTCTGTTAATGCATTCAATATATTATTATTGGAGTGGACACGCTGTTTGCAGAGCACAACCTAGGCTACACTTGTGATTTACATTTACATCATTTAGCAGACGCTCTTATCCAGAGCGATGAACACGTTTTGGTTTATTTCAGTCCATTTACGAATTTATTCATTGTGTTTTGTTTGGAGCGCTCCTGTCAAGTGTAGGCTTATAAAATGTGCCCATTTGGGGATCTGATAGTATTTCTGATTGTCTTAACTCACCACCACTAATGAGCTGTGGAGCTTCTCAAAGTAATTTTCTCTTCACCTCAAAAACAGCAAGTAAACGAAGTCTGTTTTTACATCCATTGAGAATGACAATAGTTCCTCAATGTAGCCTATTTGAAAAATCTTTCCAGCACTCTCCCTTTTGATAACCACTGCGTGAAAGGGAAAAACGTAATGCGCTGATCTGGTGGAAACGTCATAAAATAGGCCTACCCGATTACTTCTTATCCCTTGCACAAATAGCCTACAGCTGTGTTTGTCTGGAGCTCACTGGCTCCTGAAACTGAGGATCCAGAATATTTATACAATGTTGCAAGTTTGTTAGTGCAAGCTTAGGGCTGGACCAAGTTGATACAATGTTTCAAGGTTCCTTGCAGACAGGCCAGGCGTAGCCAATGTGATTTATTTTTAAATCAGGATATTTTCTACCTGCAGGCTGCAATGCTTTACGTAGGCTATTTGTACATAATAGAAGTTACTTTTCGATTTGTATAATTTTCATTTAGATACAGATATAATTTTTATTAATCACATGACAATGATTGAGATACGACGACTTTATTATAAAATAAATTGAACTGTTCCAAGAAAATGTGCCTGTGAAAATCATAACTGGCACGCGGATCGGTACAAATGTTAAGATAAATTGGCACTCCAAATGGAAAAGGTTGCCGACCCATGGTTTAGCCTACTACCGGCAACTTCAGGAGCATAATGGCAGAATCTGCGAAGGCCAGCAGCAGTGGGAGGCGGTGGTTCGGGAACAGTTTATTTCTTCTTCTTCTGGTTAGGCTATCTTGATCTCTGGCTCCCTCGAGTCATTTGTGTCTAAATTATTTAAATCACAGTGTGCTTAAAGTATCAGACAAGCTCAGTAGCCTACATATAGTTGATTTTATTAAAACACATAGGGTGTGTCTACATATGGAAAAATACACAACATTTTTTCGACTAGTTAATTTTTTAGTTGGGGACAGCCCTAGCATACTGCCTTAATAAAACACATTTCCACCACCATTAATACACACATAGATATGTGAATTTGTGCCAATACTTTTGGTACCCTAAAATGGGGGGGGGGGGACTATGTACACAAAGTGCTGTAATTTCTAAATGGTTAACCCGATATGGATGAAAATACCCTCAAATTAAAGTTGATAGTCTGCACTTTAACCTCAGTCATTGTAGCATTTAAAATCCAAAGTGCTGGGGTACAGAACCTAAACAAATATAATGTCACCCAATACTTTTGGAGCTCACTGTAGCGAGGCCTAGATGCAGTCCACATCATCACAGGCCTCATTACACTATGCATGAGCTCTCGTGAATGAAGCCATTCAGTTTTGTTTGATTTCGTACTGAAATACATAACAGAGAAGAGGAATTGAGTTTCAGGGTCCTTTCTAAATAAACTATCCCCCACCATTCTCAGATTACCACAGCAATAACCCACTTTCTTCAACATGTCTAATGGGGAGCATGATGTCAAATAAGGGGAGAAGAGTGCATTCTGAAAGATAATGAATTCCAGTGACACATTGAAGTTCAATAAAAGTGTATCTAATCACAGCTGGTGTGATAACAATGACTTCAATAAAGTTTAAGTACACTGATACTGAATCTACTGTCAGACTTGTATTAGGCTTTTGGCTACTGAACCCTTTGTCTCCAACATGTGAGAATTAACAGTCTAGTAGTGGACTCTAGAGCAGCGGAAGCATCCCAGTGACTGAATGTCCCGCTAGTGCCATGCTGTTCCATTAGCAGAAGAAGTGAGGTTTCAGAGTACACTGGGCAGATGAGATGGAGTGGCTGAGGGAGCTGAACAGCTGAGGGGTTAAGGGAGATTGGAGGAAGAGAGGGCATAGGGCTCAGGTTGAGTGTTTGGAATGGATTGTGGATTTTGACTGTGAGTGGTTGGGGTAGGGTTGTGATGGAAGTAATTAAAAAGGTCTGTAGTAGCTATGCAGCAATTCCTAAGCTATTTCCTCTCCCCTCCTCTTAATTCTATTTTCAGTGGGTTAAGGCAAGGTGTCATATGATATAGCCTAGGCCTACATTGCACTGTAGGTTAAGAAACATCCAGTGATGACAAACCTCACCTTGTTCCCCTGTAAAGTCAGGTAGTGTGCACTACCACACAGAGAACTGGACTAGCTAATAGGTGCCATATGTTTACTGGTTATTCATGGCTATAGGCTACAATACAAAAGCCTTTTCCTGCCAATAATTCCAATCATTGAGAGCATTATTTCACATCTGGATGTCCCCCCTATAATTAACTTGCCTGCCCCAGTGAGAGATTTATGCCTGACATCTAGTCTGGTTTCACAGTGACTTTAGGTTGAACAAAGCCTTGTCCTCCTCATCATGGTGTAGCCTTCCCACAGGAACAGCCTGGGTCTTATTGCCCGTTTAGGCACGGAGGGATTCCCCTCTGGCAACGCTGCTGCCCGTCTCTCCAAGAGGAATCACTCATTCATCAGTCATGGAACCCCCACTCCACCACCTCGACTGGCAGGCAGCAGGAATTCTGCTCAAGGAATTCTGTATTGGGTTGATTAGAGCACAGGGCTACACTAGGAGTGGGCTGTCTCGTAGACCAAGCCCCTAGACACCAAGATGTTACAAATAGATGGCCCACAAACCCCTGCATCCAGTATTAACAGAAGAAAATACTATTGGATTCATGGGCTTGCTCTTGTCACTCCAAGACTAAAATAACCATTGGTCTGATGTCTGAAGATTTGCATATAGTTCAGAGGACGAGGGCTTTAAAGACACACAGAGACAGACAGGCTGTCTATACAGAGCTAAGAGTACAGTAAGGACAAGAGCCCCCATCACTTAATGAGCTCTTGCCGATTTGTGATGACACACAATAAATATACACCGCAAAACGCATTAGTCAAAACCATGATCAATATAGGAAAAGAGCATAGGTTATGTACATTAATGGCTTTTCAGCTAGGCTTATGGCTATAATAGAAAGAGGTGTGCTGCAGAGACAAAGCCCATGATGCTCCTACCTCCTCTGGCCCCCCCAGCGCGCTGCGGGAGTGTGATGCCCCATCCCCCGGGACCCTGGCCCTGTAGGATGCTGCTCCTCTTTGTCTGACTGTGTCTGTGTGGTGGATCCAAACCTCAGCCTCTCTCGCTATCCCCTACTAACACTCTGCTCTGCTCCCCATCTCAGCTTCAACAGACACAGCCCGCCAACCTATCCCCTGCCTTCCTCCTGATTATGTGGTATCCTAGCGACTGCCAACGGGGTGCCTATGGAATCCCTGTGCAGTGCAGCATGCCGATTGGTCGGCAGGACCCCCTCTAATAAACATGACGGTAATGATTTCACCCTCTACCCTCCCCCTGCCAGAATACTGAATTTGGTAGCATGAAGCCTCAGCCACATAATAGCCAAACCATAATCAAAACCATATTGGGTAAGTATAAAACCAAATATGTAAATGTATAGTCCTATCTATTTATATATATATTTTTGTTTTTAATTACAGAACATTTGATTCCATCTGTTATTATTGTATTAGGACATGGGTTATAACAGTCTATAATCACTCATTATTATAGTCTACACACATCATGAACATTCAGGATAGGATCATATATGCTAGTCATGGGAATCCTCTCACA